GACAACAACAAGGACAACAACAAGGACAACAACAAGGACAACAACAAGGGCAACAACAAGGACAACAACAACAACAAAAGCTGAATACCAGAAGCTCAACTGAAGCTCAAATAGTTGGTGTTGATGATGAGCTGACACAAGTATTGTGGACCAGATACTTTCTGCAAGAACAAGGATTTCCACTGAAGGACAACATGTTGTACGAAGAAAATCAAAGCATGATCAAGCTGGCACGCAACGGAAAGCGATTGAGTGGGAAGAGAACAAGACATATGGACATCAGATACTTCTTCATTACGGATCAAATCAATGCAAAGGAGGTGAGCATTGAATACTGTCCAACCCTGGATATGGTGGCTGATTACTTCACAAAGCTACTGCAGGGGTCTCTGTTCCGGAAGTTCCAAAACCTTGTGTTAGGAATTAACAAGGAGAGTGTCCCAGGATATCGTGAGAAAGTGCGGAAAGAACTGGAGCACCGCAAGCAGATCCAAGAAGCAAAGGCAGCCGAGGATGATCTTATGAAGCAGCAACAGCAACTGAAGGAAGCTGCTGCTGCTAAACAAGATCACAGGAGTGTGTTGCAAAATAAGGAAGCTGGAGATGCACAAGGAACCCGGAAACCAAATAAGCAAACCACAACAGACATCAGCAAACCGCGTACGTCAAGTAACCGATGATGTGTTTGAAGAAAATTATGGTAAATAGATGTTGTTCACAGAAAATAAATTGTGGATGCAGTTTAGTGACTTTAGAGATAAACCTCATTCTTTATAATTTTATCCAGTTACTACGCGTTTCGTAACAATTGAAACCAGTCTTGAAAAAGAGCAAAAAGTAATAATTTCAAGCTCTAAACTTCAATTTGAAGTTATGAACTTTTGCTCCTACATCATGTACCAGGTTCTACTGAGGTAGTTTTTTAAAAATGACTGCTAAATGGCCAAATAGATTCCCGGGGGCCCTCAAAACAAAAAAAATGGTTCTGAGGTGAATCAATCATGAATCTGGCCTTTCAATCATGGAAGTTGACTAGAATAAAAAGTACAAAAATAGTCGTTATTTGACTGGAATTGTCCTTCTGGAATAAGGGAGTTTGAGGGGGAGAAAAATGTAAAAACATGGTATCAACAAATTTTTAATGTAAAGCATGTACTAGGTTGARCGTGATTTTTTTCTGTAAAAATATAAAGTTACGGAAATGAGATGTTGGTGGCACAAGACAAGTTTCCTGATATGCTAGTACTATGAAAGATTGAACAAATGACAAATATAGTACCGAACGTACGTACAGTACACCCAACTTTTGACTTCCCCTGGCTGCGCACTGCAAAAAACAATATTGCTGAAAACCATCCAACTGTATCTGTGTTCAATGATACCTTCTTTGAGAAGCTATTCTGAGATGCCTGCGAGAAAGAACTCATGATCTACAATGAAGAAAGACACTAGCAAAATGTCCTGAAAGGAAGAGACTTTAAGACTGTCTATACTGAATGGGAAGAAACAAAACACTCCAAGACAACAACTCCTTACAGACCTCTTGACCATGTTTTCACAGATGGGAGTGTTGGCAAAATTATCATGACATATTTGTGTACTGACATTTGCAACAAAGCCTCAATGTATGACCTTCTTAAACAACCAGGATCTTTTTTTTCTCCAGCCAAAGATGGTTCATACTCTACAATTGCTCAGTCTTTTGGGTTCCCTGCTTCTTCAACTGTAAATGGTGCCCAACATGGTGGAGATATGGATAACAGTGATGTAAATTCACTTTAACCCATTCTTCACCTCTCCTTTTCAATTATGTCCAACATCACTAGTCATCTCTTATAAATATTCTCTTTCCCTTTTTCAGTCATAACTGTGCATTCTTTTCATGGTGTCTCTCCAATGTTTCGATGGCTTGCAATGCCTTCATTTTGCGATGTCATCAATACAGATCTTCATCCTTTACATGTACCTTCTCAATATTTCTAATTAGTATGGTAACAATAATGAATACTTTGTCAGTCTTTGTGGATCATTCCATATGACGATGTTACACCAAAATAATTACCTTACTACAATATCGACGCAAATTGCCTGACCATGCCAACCATTAGAGACAATATTGGACACAACATACTAATGAACCCATCCAATACATCAAACACATCCCAACACACCATATTTTGTCTTCAAAAGCCTACACTTCTATTTTCATAAATTAGTTCTGCAGACCAGTAACATTATGTTTTTCTATTTCTTCGCCATAATGATGTCGCTTTTGAGATATGCAATTTGCATTGAGAGCGGATTGCTGCCTCAGAAAAACACAAAATAGTTTTCAAACAAATTACAAACAGGTTTTTCCTTCTCATACAGGTTTTGTTACTATGTCAATGGTACGTAGTACATGGTATCAAACAAAATAATTGTAACGAGTTGTTTCTGCAGGAATACATACTCAAAACAATATTATTACCCAATCAGAAGGCATCATTACTTATGAACTTGCAAAATTATATTCTTTCTCCTAACGGTACGTTAACTGAATTCTAAGCTATTTCCCAACAATTAACATGTGTAACCAACCATCTCGGGCAACAGCTGCTCACATCTGTCCTCCAACTCATTCCAACCATCAGCAACTCAACAACAACATACTTAATGCGAACAACAATGATATACCACAAAAACAACATAATTACTGTGAGATTTCCTCAGACATTCACATTTGGGAATAATGTTCCAATATATTACAATACTATTGACAAACCACATTAATTAATGCACTACATACGTGTACTCTTAGCATTTTTTATTTTATGAAATCGAGATTATAAGATTAAAATTATCATGCGAGTTCTCGACAGTTCCAAACTTCTCATTAGATCCTAATGTAGATTCTGGTACTGAATATATGAGGATTCTTCAATTCTGGACTCATGACATCTTTGTTCTTTGCGAGATATTCTTCTCTAGATATTTTGGACCTCTTACGATCCTCGGACCTCTTACGATGGATTGTATGATACATCCATATGAATAGTATACTATGAAATGTAGATAGGAACGCTATGTTCATCAGTTCCGAGGGAGAAAAGTATGTACGTATGCTTCCAATATAGTACTACATACATATACATCCAATATAGTACATGCGTACGTATCATAGTTCCAATACATTACATATATCTCCATTGCAAACAAATACATACAATACACAGTTACTTGTATACTTATTACATACCATACGTATTAATAATACATACGAAAGGGAATATGGAATACAAATTCAAGAAACTTACAGTACACAACCCTTCAACCACTTAGCCGTCATCAAGCTCTGCTTGTAACTATTTTGTGTCGGATTAGTACTGCAGTCTACACAGGTGAACAGAGTTCACTCTTGGAAAATCAAAGAAACTCTGAGAAAAAAAAACAAGAATGCACGATTTGGGCGGAGACGGGAAAAAGTTAACGAAAGTTCAACTGTTATTGAACGCGTAGTAAGGATGGCATTGGGCGATTCCCGTTACTCTAAAAACTCTAGATTTGATAGACTGACAGACCATGAATTTAATGAAAATGACTCCAGATTTAGCAAGTTTAGAACCGGTTGATCCACCCAGTCCTAAATACTCTACATTTAGAGTGGAATCCAGGAATAAAAACTTCGAGTCCTCCGTTGAAGGACTCTCAAGACGACTCAACAGAAAGGCCCGCCAAAATTAAGACTCTGTTGTTCTAAATAGTAAGAGCAAGCACCCCACCACCACCAACAAGAAGGCGCCTCCTCCTCTAATAGTATTGACAATGGCGCCTCCTCTATTAACATCAACAATAGTCACAAAAGGCGCCTAAAGCATGCAATGAGGCACCTAAGGCATGGAACGCGATGACTCGACCAGCCATTATAGTTGCTACATTCTATTTCCTCTCTTTGTTGTACCAGCAAAGAGAGCAACAAGAGGAGGAGGAGGATGTCCCCCTCGATTGTCCCATTCCCTGTATTATTTTCCTTCACATTGCTCAAAACCCAACTGACAACAACAATGCCATGGCCGACAAAAACAACAACAACAACAACGGCCGAAGAGCTGGTTCTATCAACTACTCAGAGGAAGAGCTTGAAAGTCTTATGGAGTTGATAGTTGAGGTGCTCCCAATTGATTCTGAACAGTGGGAAACTGTTGTAACCAAGCACGCTGTAAAGTATCCCTTCGATAGAAGCAAGAAATCCATCAGGAACAAGTATAACACCATAAAAAAAAGAAGAGCTCAACTGGTAACCCCAACATGCCTAGATACGTGAGGCTTGCCAGGCTTGCCCATCACTTGATAGGAAAGAAGGCAAACCTTGGTACCGGAGAGGAGGACTTTGACATGAAGAAAGGCTTCATCGTTAGTGAGGCTGAGGAGGGTTTGGAGAGGATCCCCTCTGCTGAAGTACAAGAAGGAAGAGCCTCGATTATCCATGATGGAGATGCATCGACTGTAGAGTCAGGAGCCATCTTGCCTGCAAAAGTACAGTCTTTGACGCCCAATAAGAGAGCCTACTCAAAAGCACCCGACGCAACTGTATTCAATGAGTACTTGATTAGCCAGCAACAAAGGGACAAAGAAAATCGTGAGATGGCTTTAGAGCAGTCAAAGATTGCAAAGGAGCACTCACTAATAGCCAAAGAGGCAACCCAAATTGCTAAAGAGACCAACCAGATGTGGAAGGATGCTCTCGCAATGGCGATAGCCTGCTTTCAGCAATGGCAAAGCACACACCAGCAGCCGCAGCAAACCAACGATAACAACGACGACGATGCTTACCAGTTATCCGCCGACAAACGACCCCGTATTGCCAATGAATCCCATGGTGAAAACAATGAATCCCATGGTGAAAACAACGAATCCCATGGTGAAAACAACTGAAACACAACGCTCGTTAGTTTGGTTAAACACTAATTCAAATGAACTAAATTACACTGGTTGAAATCAACTAAATGAGCTTATCAGCTGCTGTATGCGCTGTGAGCAGTATTGCAAGCAGTATTCCTTGCTGTGAGCTGTGACACCAGTAAGTGGTAGTACTGATTGTACTTATTCCTTCATTCGATTCTTGTATGGGTTTTTGTGCATACCCTATGCGGGATTAGAACTGTTTTCTAGTAGTTTAGCACGCGGTGATTCCCACCAAAACCGTTTGTATTGGCATGCACATGGAACTATATCGGCATGCACATGGAACAAATCATACGGTTGTCTTCATGGCAGGATAACAAGGTACTTATATTCATGTCGGTATAACTTGCTATGCATTGCTGCATTGGTGTGTATTACGGGACGCGGCAGCGGGCTCAAGGGGTTCACGAAAACCACAAAACAGTATACTCGCACTGCAGCTTGCTATACAGCTTGCACTGAAGCTTGCTGTACAGCTTGCACTGAAGCTTGCTTGCTCCCTGCACTAATTCAATACTGCTCCTAATTCAACCATACGAGTTAAACAATGCTTAAGAAAACCAACCATTTATTCACTGGACCATGAGGGACTGGACAATGAGGGGAGGCGTGGTGTCGAACAGTAAGTGTGTCGAATGAGGGGAGGCGTGGTGAGGGGAGGCGTGGTGTTGAACGGTAAGTGTCGAACGGTAAGTGTCGAACGGTAAGTGTGTCGACGGTCGACTGCGGATGTCAACTATACTAATTCATTTGCTAACTACATTCATTTCCTAATTACATTCCTTTCTAAACAACTAAACGGTGAACAAGAACTAAACGATCGACCATGGGATTCACCCAAAGATGTCATTCCCATGGGGGGATATGTCCCGTCCTAAATGGAAGAAACCCCCCGCAAGATCGTTCTTCTTGTACGGTTCTTCCGGATCAGTTGCTGCTGGCGTCCTCATGAAGGTCGACAGGATCTGGTTGTGTCCTACTGTGCTGCATTGGTAGTTGTAGAGGTTGACCAACAAGTTCATGATAATCTTCCTGTCTCCAAGCTCCTCCAAGAACATCCTGTCCTTGATTCTTGGAAACTGTCCTTGAATCATCCTCATWCCCCACTCCGACATCTGCCTCAGGGACCTTGCATCCCTATTGATCAGGAGAAGATCTTCCTGTTTGGGATCCTGCTGTGAGCTTTTGATGAGGATATGCTCCTTTTCTTTCAAGGCAAAGGCTGAATCCACCACAACCTTTGCATTGGACTGGCCGTGGACCTCTTCAATCCTGTCATAGACGCCATGGTCGGCAATGGCGCTGTCATGCCACGCGCCTGGACARTTGAAGACTGCAATCCTGATTCTACCATCCGGTGCAAAGACAAACACACTGTTGACAAAGGTGTTCTCCTTCCAGGCATTGTAGAATGCTCTTTGTTTAAACCAGTCTTCTGAAGCTTCAATGGCACTCTTGAGACCATCAGCAGTGGCCCAGACCCTTTTTTCACCAAGCCTTGGATACTTCTCTCCAATTGCATTAACATAAGCATTGACTTCTTCCTCTGTTGGGACATTCACCATGGCCTCTGGATCCTTGTGAAGAGCAACAAGCATCACTCTCCTTGAAAACTTGAGCCACTTATACATCACTGTGGATGTTAAGCCAAAGGCCATTGCCATCGACCTTGCAACAGATCCTCTTGTCCTGTACCAGTAAAGGACAAGCCCTATTGCACAGACTGCATCAACCTCTCTCTTTTTCCCCACGGGCTTTCCGCTGGGGAAACAAGGAACTTCCACTATTTCATTGGTGTCCCTGTCGACAGTATACTTGTTCCATAGTGGAGCAAACAAATCAACAAGCTCCCTGAAGACCTTGTGGTCGACACCACAGCAGTTTAGGAGAGCTTGGTCATCCCCTGAGTGGAACAAGTACAGGAAAGGGGAATTAGTGTATCTCCTGATTGCAATCCTTGGGGTTCTCCTGTCTCTCTTACGACGCTCCTCAGGAGACAGCTTTTGCTTGTAACTTTGGTTATTCAGGTGGATATACCAGTACATCGTGATCACTTCCACTATTCCCATTGTAAATGCGTTCGATGAAACCTTCCTTCTTGCTGGGAGGAAACTGTTGTCTTTTAGTGTGTTTGTCGGCTTGTCGGCTTGTTGATACTAGTAGCAACTAGTAGCGTGAGAAATGAACATATTTTCTGATGAAAAGAAAATAATGTGAACAGAAAATGTGTTCATTTCTTACTCTATTGCTGGTGTTGAATATCGAAATTTGCATGTTGTTCTTACTCTATTGTTGAATATCGAAATTTTCATGTTTTACTATGAACCATGGCGCGCGTTTCAGTCTTTTTAGTCTTTACGTTGAAAAATACTTAAGATTCCAAATTCCCTTACAAACTGGCATCGAGCTGGCATCCTCTCAGTCTGTCCGTTGATTGTCTTGATTCCCGTTACTCCAGATCCCTAGATTTAGAGTTTTAGAGATCTAGAGCAACGGGAATGACCCATTATGAAATTAACGATGGGAACCACTTTCTTTCTTTGTACCGCGAGTTATGACATCAGGACATCATTCCTCGGTAACACCACACTCGCACTCTTGACGCCCAGAATATAACGTATGCGCATCCTACTTCTCTCCCTGATTCTCCAGCAAGTACTCACTCGCTTACCGATGCTATACGGGCTTACTGCTGCGTTGCCATCACGGTTATTTTCATCTTCTTCTTCTTCTTCGCCGCGGTTCTATTCGTCTCTGTCTCCGGTGGCGAAAACAGTATCGAATCCGTTCTTGCGTTCGCATTCCTGTTCGCACTCGGGCATCCACTCTCGCTTTCCGTTATCTGCAAGCTCAGCAAAAGGCCAAAGAATTGTCAGGAACATGTCTTCTTCGTCGGAAACAACCACCACGACGACAACAACATCCCGGTACTGGAACCGGGAGGCATTCGCTTCGTCGTCGTCCCCCTCCTCCTTCGAGGAACAAGCTCCCGTCCGAGAGGCCCGCATCGTCTCGCTGTCTTTTCCCGGCGATCCCAACAACGCCCCCCTCGAGAGCGAGACCTCGTCCCAGCTGCCCCCCGGGGCGCGCCTGCTCCAGGTTGGCGGAACACTCGCCGATCTCGACCTCGAGGCCCTCCGGAAAGAACAAGCCAACGTGGCCTTTGTGAGCCCCGGGGTCACCCGTGAAACCCTCGCTGGCCTGATTGAAGGTATTCCCTCGCTGGAATGGATCCATTGCCGATCGGCGGGAATCGACGTCCTGACGTCGGAGACCCTTTCGAACTCGCCGGACGAGCTGGTCATGACCAACGCCAAGGGCGCCTTTTCGTCGACCCTGGCGGAGTACACCATGCTGGCCATTTCCTACTTTGCCAAGGACCTCCCCCGGCTCCTCCGAAACAAGAGGGAGGGGAACTGGGAAAAGTACAGCGTCCTCGAAATCCGTGGCGCCACGCTGGGCATCGTCGGATACGGGGACATCGGGCGTGCCGCGGCCAGGCTTGCCAAGGCCTACGGGATGAGGGTCGTGGCGCTCCGACGCAACGTTCCGGCACCGGAGGCCATCGCCGCCGATCCCCTCTGTGATGCCGTCTACGGCGACGGCAGCGAGAACCTGAACCGCCTGTTCGGCGAGTCGGACTACGTGCTGTGCAGCCTGCCGCTGACGGAGGCCACCCACAAGATGATCGGAAAGGACCAGTTCGACCACGCGAAAAAAGAGGGCTGCGTCTTCATCAACGTTGGGCGGGGTCCCATCGTCGACGAGGAAGCCCTCGTTGAGGCCCTCAAGGACGGCAGGCTCAAGGGGGCTGGTCTAGACGTCTTTACCAAGGAGCCCCTCGACGAAGACAGCGAGTTGTGGAATCTCGACAATGTGCTGCTGAGTCCGTGAGTGTGATGTGCAAACTTAGAAACAGAGCGAACCGATGCTGTGATGTTGACGATCTCGTCGCTCATACTGTTTTTTTCTCCTTTGCAAACTCGCCGTGCTGTTGTGCAAACTACGACGAAATGCTACTGAAAAATATCCATAGACACAACATGGACCAGACCGCTACGTTCATGTTAGAAAGCACGCAGTTCTTTGTGAATGAAAATCTACCGAGATTTATTTGCGGTCAAGCACTGCTAAATCCAGTCGACAAGAAGGCTGGATACTAAACAGGTCTAGTCTGAAACAGCTGCCGTTCGTGCTCGTTCATGTAGTGAAACGTAACAATTAGAATCCGAACCATCGCAGCGACCGGAAATAATTTTATCAATGGTTGGCCCAGAACTGCCAAAGAAATGAATTTTATGTGTTTATAAAGTGTATACAGAGCTTTTAGAACAAGAATATCCCATCGTTGCTCGGTGTCGCAGATTCCTTGCTGCACAACAAGGGAGGTTGCACGAACCAACGGGCTCTCCATGTCTTTGTTCTCCTCGCTGTACTCGACGCTCCGAACTGGCGCGATGATCGTTCGTATCCCCGGGATTGCCGCCGGATAGCTCGTTCGAGCTCGGGGTACCAGAGCCACAAAAGAGTTCGAGAGGGCTTTTCTTTCTTTCGCGGAATAAAAGCCGTGTTCGATCGCACATTAGGCGGATATTTTGGCGCAAAGAGCGGGCCCCCAGGGTGCCGCCCGTACAAAAGCCTACAATAGAAGCTATCAGGACCCAGATTGCCGTGACCATCTCGCTCACCATCAAAGTGACCCAGTCCCAAAACCAAAATGTGTAAAACAGTACCCGAAAGACAACGTAGAGCGGACAGGTACAGCAATTGGTTGGGGCCAAAGCCCGAGAAAAGTGGTCACAAATCGTGGAAGGAAAATAGCACAGACACGAGGCCACCATTACCCAGGTGAAAACTTGGATCACTGCCGGAATCCCTATCGCTAAGGTGGATCCCAGGCTCACGGGAGAGCAGGTCGTGAGCCAATGCGGATTCTGATGCTCGCTCACCCTATTGGAGTTCGTGATCTGTCTGTTGCTATTGTTGCTCGGTTGCGCATTGTCTTCTCCATCGTTTTCCGTGCCTTGACCCACGCTAATCCGCTGGTCGATGTCGTCGTTATTTTCGGGAGGTGTCCATGGAATTCCTTCTGCTGTGTTGCACGTGAGAAAGTTATTGCGAAAGACTTGGGCACGGCAAAAGAATCCAGATGTCAGTTTGTTGCTGCAATCCAAGAATCGAATCGTGCCGAGTACCAGGGGATACTCACCTGGAAGATTCGGAAGAACTGCCTGGATTTTGTTGTCTCGTGCGGCTTGGAATTCCGCCTCCTGGAAAAGCTTTCTCATTCTCTTTGGATACGTAATGGCTGATCGAATGAGTTCAGAAAGAGAAAATGAATTCATTCTGAAACGTGCACTCAGAAAAGAGTAGGAGTAGGAGTAGGAGTAGGAGTAAGTAGTAGGGTACGGTACTCGTACTTTATCAAGTATTAAAATAGTTCACGACAACGAAAAAGAGTCTTCCCTTCGATTATGCGAACTCTACGCGTGTGAGGCCTTAAAACAGGCTAAATCAAAAGCAATCATGAGAGTAGCTAGAGTGAGTGAGCAGAAACACTAGTGGGAGTGCGAAATGCGAAATGCTGATAGGCTAATTGGTGTACGTCCAAAAGGATACGTATCGCTACGTACGATACTTCGAAGAAAAGAATGAAGGGACATACCGTTTCTACGTACCTATCGTTAGGTACTTGTTGATGAATTGTCTTTTTGTTTCTGGAATCAACGCCATGAACTACTACACGCATTTTGCTAGTAGTAGATTCCAAGCAGCAGTTCCTCCCCTGGAGAAGGGGGGTTCTCAGGGTTCTCAAGTTTTAATTCCTATTGATATGGCTCCATCAGGGTTCTTCCATGGCATCAATGTCCTTTTGTTGAGGATGCTAGCTAGTAGTAGATGAGAATTCCTCTGTTTACCACCATGCACAAATGCTTCGAATACTTGTTCGGAGGACAGTGAACTTCAGCATGTGGTTCACCTGGCGTTTTGGATTTGTTTTGGCGTGCTCGCTGGCACCATGTGCTCTCAATACTTAGTGTTTTGGCAGGCTCACTGGCACCATGCGTTCTCAATATTTGGCGAGGAATGCAGTTACTATTACTATTTTCTGTTAATTTAAGAAAGCAACAAGCGAAGAAAATGTTTCCATCAGATTCCAAATCAAGCACATCATGTAGCAAGAAGAAATATTCTATGACACACAAATCTATGTACCGTAGTCACATTTTTATTCCTGTAAAGTCATAGATGCAAAGTATGTCAGCATAGATTCTATGTTTATGGGAATGACCCAATTTCAGTCAGATCTATTTTATTCTTCTTTAATGTTTAGACTTCCATGCTTTCTTTCGAATTCCACAGAACATGTCAAACGTGGATACTAGGAACGTCATCAATGCACGACTGACTTAGTGCGTCAGAAAAGACATATTGTACTGCATTGTTTTTCCCTTAAAACTCATCAGTACCAGTTGAGAAATACTACTACGTAGTACGTACTTGGTACGGTAGGAGAGAGGCACTAGCAGTAAGAGCATGGTACTACCCGTACCGGTAGTAGATCGGCACGTACCGCATCATCTTCAGAGAAATTGACGGTAGATTCTGGATCCGATAGATTGACAAGGTACAGAACGTACCACTTGGTACGAGAATGGTGCCTTCGAGTACCATGCGGTAAGCTCTAAAGAAGGCCCACAACATGAACACGAAAATAAGACCAGCCACCTGTTGGTACAATCGATCACAATCCACCAACGCCATGAATAATATCTTCCGCTTTCTTTTGCTTATCGGTACTATCTCTGTTGCCCAAGCATTCTCAGGATTTCCAAAGATCGCCATCCGAACTTTGTCGACCGCAATTGCCGCCAGCTCCGATAGCATGACCGACGCCGCCATCCAAGAAGTCGAAGCCGGGGACATGATCCCATCCGTGGTCCTCCAAGAAGGTCTCCCAGATTTCGGAGGAAAGAACGACATCGATATCTCCGAACTGATCGCTGGAAAGAAGGTGGTTATTTTCGGGGTTCCGGGCGCCTTCACTCCCGGATGTTCCAAGTCTCACCTACCAAGTTTCATCACCGCCAAAGATGAGCTCAAGGAGAAGGGTGTTGACATGGTCATTTGCATCGCCACCAACGATTTATTTGTCATGGAAGCCTGGGGAAACACCTCCGGTGGAGCCGAGGCCGGCATCAGGTTTTTGAGCGACGGATCCGGTGAGTTAACCAAGGCGCTCGGTCTCACCATGGAAACACCCATGATGCCGCGCACCAAGCGATTCTCCTTGATCGCAGAGGACGGAGTTGTTACGGAATACTTCTCTTCGGCCGAGGAAGCCTCGAACACTTGGGCACCCGCTGTTCTTGCAAAACTTTAAACGCAACGTTCTGACGTAGATTAATTTCGAAAAATCAATCATCATCACGGCAGTTTCTTGTCTTTGCCAAGTTTTCACGAATGTTATTCTAGCATACAGAGGATATTCGATTCGAAAAATATCGACTTAGTAATAACATCTAGCTATCGTTCGTTGTCATGACTCGCTCAACGATCGCAAACGCCGAATCAAAATCCCGTATAAGATCCTCCGCATTCTCAAGCCCAACACTTACACGGAGCAATCCGAGTGGACTCACTATGCTCTCAGGTGGCTCGATGCTCGCCCGGTGTTCTATCAGCGTTTCCGTGCCGCCAAGGCTCGTCGCGCGCTGAGCTATCTGCACTGCCCCCGCAAAGGCAGTGGCTTCGACCTCGTTTGCCATTTCGAACGACAAGACGCCACCGTAGCAATTTGTTTGCATGGCAGCACTACTGTTGTGATCTGATTTTGGTGGTGTCGATGCCATTTGCCGGTTTGCTACATCATGTTGGGGATGAGACGGAAGACCGGGGTAATGGACGGCCTGAACAGCGGCTACCTTGGTCGTTGGGTCCCGATCTGACCTTTCTGCCGCGAGCTGCATTTTTTCGTATAAATACTCGGCGAGCTTCATTGCCGTTTTGCACTGCCGTTCGACTCTTACGTGAAGGGTTCGCATCCCTCGCAGGGTCAGCCATGAATCCCACGGAGAAGCTACGCCACCACCAGCAATTTGAACCGATCGAATCAATGGTGCCAAGATTTGGCCACGAGGTGTTATCGGAGATAAAGTCAGAGTTCCGATAAGAGCATCCGAATGGCCCGCTAGGTATTTGGTTCCTGAATGGAAGGAAATGTCGGCCCCGAGCTGCACGGAAATAAAAAAGAAAGCAAAATATTATTAGAAAAAGTGTAGCTTAGTTAGAATTTTGTCTTTTGACCTGAAAGATAGATACAAGCTTGATCTTTTTGTCGTGGATGTTACCTACCTCTAGTGGTCGCGTTAAGATTGGAGATGCCATGGTGCCGTCAACAACCGTGGTTACATCAATTACATTCTTCCAACGAGCGGCAGCCGATTGGGCTGAATTGCAAATGGCTTCGATGTCCGTTACCTCACATTTTGGATTCGAGGGGGTTTCCATCCAAAGAATCACGTTGTGGCGATCATTCTTGTTCTGACCATCTGTTTCATTGCCGTCAACACCACGCCTATCGTACTTATCTTTGGTGACAGCTGCAGCAATATCATAAATGGCATTTTGGATTGCTACAGCACCCGATTCATTGTCCGCGCCATTTTCATTTTTCCCAAGTGTGACCATGTTTATTTCTATTACTTCAACACCATGTCTAGAAAAGACATCCGACAACAATGAGCGGATTCCGTGATAGACATCCTTAGGAATCAATACTGTCATGGTGCTTCCTGTTGACAATGGCGATGATGATGTAGAATGTGCTAAAAGGATGGTTGTCACAGCTTGCATTCCCGAGGAAAACGCAAAGCTTGTTTTCATCGGGATATTGTCAGCTGTATTTTTCTCCGAGGAGAACATCGGATGAGAGCACTCCAGTTCGAAAATACATTTTTCCAATAGGAGACGAGTGGGATTGTCCATTCTCGCATAGATTGAATCTCTGTGTATCATAAAACCAAACCAAACGAAAGCAAAAAGAGTTTCAATCCCGCTGAGAAGAATTTTGCAAAAATTGTCGCTCCTGCACGTACTGGCAGATAGTTCTTACCCGTCCTTATATATACCATCAGGAGGGCGGGTATAAGTCGTGGCTGTATGCAAAGGGGGTGACATTGGAAAATTCTTGCTCGTTCCTACCATTTCAATGCTGCCCTCATGGCAGATTTCGATCCCGGCATGTGAGAGTATCGTCGCCACGGATGTTTTGGCGATAATGTTGCCATTGTCGCTGCCTTGACTGTTACGGTTGTGATCGTCAGAGTGATTATCAACGACATGATTTCTATTCTTCTGTTCCATTGCTTCCAAAGCGAGCTGTGAGGCTTTTCGGCCCGCCTCTTCTGCCGTCATCGAGATTTTTGATGAAATGGACGACGCACATCGTCTCTGTTGTTGCTGTCTTGTTGCCGATGCTACCGATGAAACAACAGCTTGACATCGTCGTAATTCTGGGCGTCTTCGGTTCTTTTGACATTTTGACATGGCGAAATCAATCTTATCATTTTCTTGAACATAGCTCGTTCTACTCGAAGATGCAGTACAATGAGCTCGAACGACGACGCCAGAAAAGCGTCGACAATAATACGAGACCCTCGTCATTGCCCTTCTTCTATCTACTGGAGATTGTCGGGTATAATGATACGGATTTGCATATCGTGCAAGAAGAGTAAAAGTAATGCCGTATCTTGTCGACTGCGAACTGTGCACGAACATTGTGAATTATCACGTAACAAAAAGTACTTCAATACAGAGATGTATTTCGCTCGTCCAAAAAACGCTTCACCGCAACTCTTCGATTCTTCTCAGCTACAGTTGTACCGGTAGGTAAATTATTAATTATTACTACTTTTATTTTTAATGAGTCAAAATTCATGATCCAGGCAGGTAATTTTCAACAAGGGATTTTGCGGTTCGCTGCAAGTGGAAGTTGAAATGTCGTCTTATTACTAAAACAAGGAACTTCTCATTCCCTTCACTTTATATTTTCTCGAAGAATCGCCGTTCATTTTGTATTGGGAGCTCAGGTGCACGTGCTACTAGCAGAAGCAGCTGTGGTGGGCTGGGAGAGGCTGCATCATGTCCAGGGAGTTTAAGACATAATGCAATAGCTGCTCAGGTTTCCAATATCAGTAGTACACGATTATTACTATGTGCACTTTGACTGAACAGGTACAATTTTAAAATAATTGCAATGTAATTTTATTATTCAATCCCAGGAGCGCTATTCACGAGAAGTGAGTATCGTGCTCACATATTAACTAGTTACGCATTTGCAAATGAAATGATAGTCAGTACCACAAGAACTTGAATGATTGTTTTCTCTGTCGATGAGGACGACGATTGTTCCAATTCTGGCTCTGAGTCCGTTCCCGATTCTGGTCCCAATTCTTTATTCGAAACCAGGTTTGGATCAAAGACCCATTCTACGAAGTTACCGTTGTCCTCGTTTGTCGTTTCTGATGATGATGGCAGTTGTGAAATATGTGGCAATATTCTGAACCGAGTGGCGGCCGGGACAAAGATCGATCCTACTACGTAATCACCATTGTCCAATCTAGTAGCGGATGAGGCCAGGGAAAAAAGGCCCCCGTCGGCTTGAAAGATTTGTTCCTTCATTCTCCCAGTTGATTCATMATAGATGACCAAATTTCCTTGTGGGGCAATCATTGATTTGAATCTGTGTTGCACATAATCTGGAAATTGGTGTGAAAAAGCGATTAGAGCAGCGGGATCCTTGAGGAATGTTTCCATGTCTTCGTTACGAGTGTAACCGGGAACCAAGAGTTCTCCGTCCTGGACAACTATGTTGTCGGGAAGAATAGGCAGGTTTTCAAGAAAAGGCTCGATTTCACCAGACATGATATCATATCTCAATATCCGCGCAGCTGTTGTCTCGGAAATGAAAATGGAAGCCTCATCCGATGAAGTCGCCAAACCGTTTGCAAAATAAATGCCATCTCCAAGTTGCTCAGTGGTATAGTTGCTTGTTTCAAGCCGATGGAAGGAGCCACTCGGCATCTCGGTATCAAGAACTACATATGGTAATTCGTTCCTCGTCTTGGACTGATGAGTGATGGTATAATAGAGGAAATTTCCTTCCCCGTCACTGAGGGGTTGAATGTCGTTTACGAATCCTCCTTCTATGGCTACTCGCTTCACGATTTCCCATGGTGCCCCACAGGTTCCCTCGTAGATCCCAAAATATGAATTTGCCATCCATAGGCCGTTGCAATCCCCTGTTTCTCCATCGAGATCAAATTTGACACCAAGAACACGGCCGCAGGTGTTTTCGTTGGCCAGAGTCGACCCGTCGCACAGTCCCCTAACTTCTTCGTCGGTCTGGTTGACGAAATAGTCCGGTCGGAAATCCTTGGGAGAGAAAATTGTTTCAATATCTCCCGATTCGATATCCGTTTTGTAGACGTACCCATCCTTTGTTCCAGAAACGAAGAAAGTGCCAGTTGGATCCACAGCTATCGCATCTGGGTTGGGCAACGAGTAGGTCTCGATCACCTCTATGGCGGGAGCAGACTCAACGAGAGCGGGAGGCATATCGCCGAGAGGTGGCGGAATGGGATCGGGAGTTGCTACGTCGGCGGCAGATGAAACTAAGATTAGCTGGAGATAGACAAACTTTCTCATGTTCACTGGCTTGAGTTCTTTGATTGGAAGTTCGCATTGCAGAGTGTGCTGCCATTACTTGGAATGCTATCATGTCATGGGAGAGCAAAGAGGAAGGAATTATTGGAATCGAGGAGGACGGGGTCATATCAATAAGGGGGTTGTCAAGGGTCATATCATACTTCGAATCCCTGTATGTCAGTACAAGTGGTACCGTATTGGGTCATTTCGAAAAACCCAGACTTTTGAGGAATGACCGAATTTAGGGCTTTCAAGTGTGACCCTTGACTGTTATTTATTTATTAAAAATGCGATTATTTTTTGTTGGCGATGATGACGTTTATTAAAAATAAAGGAAATACGACAGGAATTTGGATTTTTTCATACGATAATTTTACACCAAGATTTTGCTGAATCACATCTCTCTCTCAGAGTACCGTATTTTTTCCTTAAATACAGTTCGAGCACGTACGTACTGTGTACTCGTACTCACTAATATTTTTCGATTTTGAAGCTCTGAATACTTAGCGACTTCTGATCACGGGAATGAGTTTAACGCGCATTGGAATCTCATTCTTGTATTCCTTCGCCACTTCGGATCATGCAAAATAATTACTACTTCATTTTTTACTGCCGTTACCCGTTGAGACTATCATCAGACGTAAGAAAACGAAATTCTTGCTTGGCTAATACACGGTACGTATTACTTGTACTCTTGGGTTTAGCGCGGTGAAATGCTCCAACACAGTTTAGTGCTGTGATGATTTTGAAAGAACGAGGAACGTATTCAGATACCATGGTACCGTAAACCTTTGTCCAAGATGTGAAAGCAATCGCCTAAACCATTTTGACGCCGAGAAAGAAAACAAACTGAGCAGCAGTAGTCTATCATTCCATCTAATTTCCAATCTTCTGATTAAAAGTTTTGGCTCGATATTCGTACCAGCATGAGCGAAAGCATCAATGGTAGCGAAAGCTACGAGGACTACACAGACTATACCCTCCCAGTGTCATTCTTGTTCTTCATGATACTATTGGCTTTTATATTGCTTCTTGGAAGGGCCTTGCATAATCGACCGAAGCTAAAATCCATCTTGTCCGAACCTGCCATGACGCTGATCGTAAGTGTCTTCTTTTCGTTCATGATAAAAACCTTTTTCGTCGGGGAAGATTATGCTTCAGAAGGCAGTAACCAAGACCAAGCCGATGACGATGGATACTATAACTACGACGATGGCCATCAAAATGACAACAACAGCAATAGAAATTACGTTGGGGTTGATCAAAACAAGCTATCCAAATATTTGTTTACCTTTTCGGGAGAAGTTTTCTGGATGGTCTTTTTACCTCCTATCATGTTCAATTCGGGCTATGAATTGAAACGCGAGCTCTTCTTTCGACACCTAAAACCAATCTTATCTTTTGCGGTCTTCGGGACTGCTCTTTCGGGTATAATTACGGGATTGATCCTATTTGGAGTCTCTAACCTTGGCTGGACAGACCCGGTAGATGCAAATTTGCTCGAGTTTCTTACATTCGGCTCCCTCATTGCTGCAACTGACACCGTGAGTGTTTTGGGAGTGCTCAATGCAAAAAAAGTAAACCCGCACCTATTCAGTCTAGTCTTTGGTGAGTCGGCTCTGAACGATGCCGTGGCCATTGTCCTATTTCAATCATTTTCCCGCCTCGTCAAGATGGGAGGCATCGGAAGCAAGGAATATCTGGTTGACGAAGTGGTCCATTTCATTGTGACATTTTTGCTAGATATACTGGGCTGTCCAATCATGGGGATTGCTTTCTCCTTTGTGGCAGCCTTACTTTTCAAAATGGTGGACTTTCACGGGACACCCGTCTTGGAATTAAGTTTGTACCTTCTCATCATGTACATACCCTTTATCGTGGCGGAGGTAATGGGCATGAGTGGAATCGTCACAATTTTCTTTACTGGAATCTTTGCACGTCGATACATCGAACCTAATGTATCAAATGAAACCAAGCACAATGCTGAAGTCATTTTCAATCTGGTCGCCTATCTGGCTGAAATGTGCATCTTTATTAATCTAGGCCTTTCTGTATTCGGCTTCTCTGGCAGTTTTCACTGGGCCTTCATCGGTTTCGCTTTAATTGCATCTTTAATTGGACGGGCAATGAGCATATACCCGATATCATTCCTATTCAATTGGTCACTTGTGGAACGAAGCGAGGGACCTGTCTCACCTGTTTATAACAGACGGGCAACGATAGATGTGGTCACTAACAAAGATGTACTAAGGAATACCGAGGCAGCATTATCGTCATTGCAGACAATCACGGACAGCGACAAGGACGATTTTGTTGAGAAGAACGCGGATAGATTGTATCGCGAGAAAGATGCAAATGTTTCTTTCTCAGACGTCAGTATTGTGAGGCACACGCCCGAGAAGAGCCTCGACAAGGTTATTCCAGCAAAGTTCATGCACTTTTTATGGTTCGCCGGCCTTCGGGGAGCTGTCGCTTACGCATGGTACGTTCACTAGAAATGAAAAACTGTTCGAAAGGATGCTTCTGTTTCTCGGTTCTCGCATTCTGATTATTTTCTTATCTATTTTTCCAGCGCTCGAGATTTCCCCGACGTATACGGTAACAAAGACGAGGTAGTAGCAGCTACAATGGTTATTGTTTTCTTCAGCATCATAATTATGGGAGCGTGCTGCGAATCATTTTTGATCGCTCTTAATATTCGAATGGGCGTAGACAATAATGAATATATGCGGGAGTGGCGGAACCGACGAAGCTTAAATGGGCCACTTCATAGCTTTGGTAAGTGAATACTAACAATGAGTAACATCATTCTGCGTCGAATGATAGATACTGACGGCAAGTTTCCTTTCCTCGACCGACCTCCAGAAAAGCGATTTGTTTACGATGTAGTGGTTCGCAGTATTGAAAATGATATCGAATTGACCGGAGAGCCATTTCATCTTACTAATGAAGATGGTTCTTTGACACGGAAATCTGCAACAAGTGAGAGGGCGACGACCGCATCTTCAACAGCAAACACACTGACCGGGTTGCAATATTCATGATCATATCAATGATCTTGCTGCACAAGAAAGCAAATGATATGGAAAGGCAAATCGCGATCTTTTTGGTACGAAAAGAATTTGGTTGCGAGATAGAAGTCCTGTATTTTGTTGTGGACCACAACCACCAATGACACTGGAGCAGGTAACAAAGGAGCAGTGGATTCATACAACAAGTCAATGGTAGAATGAAGGGCAAGACGGGAGTTAAACAAAAGTAGTTAGACAACGGTTCCTCAGGGTTCTGAAGGAAATGAAACTAGTCAATGGAATCGGAAAGAGTCTGAAGCCGTTACTGTACATCTCTTCAGCAGGAAGAACCAGGCCGGTCTGCTTTTCAACAAGCAGCCTGAAGGTATCGTCGGATGGGATGGAGGAGCTACTTCGTAGATGAGAATTGGCCTCGACAAATGATTTTTGTTATCATTTGTGAAGTCAGAAAATAAGTTAGCATAGTTGATTCCCCATTTCTCCATTGCTTGTCCATTTTTCAAATTTCATTTTCCAACTGATATAAAACTAGTCATGTCAGCACTGTCTAAGCAACCAACGTCAAGGAGCGGTTCCCAAAGACCACCATATATACGGCTAAGTGGAACTCGTTGGGTTCTTATTGGGATGTATCCTAAATATTTTGCCCTTCTCTCCGGTCATCTACGCGTGCTTTGAGATTTAAGGAGTGGGTATATGCCATCAGCAATTACAGCAATTTTATCGGTAAGGGATGCTTCGGTTCAGAATAAGGCCCTGCGGGAATCAGCTTGGTACTTTCTCAGTATCATCGTTGTCTGTTTTTGGATCTGGATTTCATACTTGATTATCTATATCAAGTGTCTATTGGAGTGCACCTACTACGACCGTTGCTCGGGTTTTGCATATACTAATTTGTTGATCTTTATACAGCCAATCCTATCAGTATGTTTGGTCATGACGAAAACAGACGTGAAAGACTATGTTTTATATGTGTTAACACTATCCTGTCTTAGAAATACTGCCCTCGAGACAAGATTCTACCGGAGAGGTATGCGCCGACCAAGCAAGGAATCTGTGAATGCCGACGAATGCGCTGCCACCATCAGTATGCGTAAATTGCGTCTAGGGAGTCAAGAATCCATATTGCCTGTGCACAAAAAAAACGTATTCCTCTGCAGGTTCCCAGCGGGTTCACCAATTACAGAGACTATGTCAGTAGAGATCAAACACTGAAAACACGGTGTAGATCCGAACATGCTGGAACATACGTAATGAAACACATCAGTATAGAGGAGGAAGTTTTCATGTTGGAGGTGAAAGTCGAAAAAATTAAGTGGTGCTACCATAAGAAACGCAAAATCATACAAAGCTTGCGCAGTATCGATATCTATAGCTAAGAATTACGAATACACAACCACTATCTATCCCTGCTTCAACAGAGTACGGATTGAGGCCAAACCGATCACTGCCCACAGCAGGAAACCGCGAGCGTAAGGAATCAAGTGGCCATCCCATGTGTGTGCGATTTGCTCGTACGGAGGCAGAACGGGGACGGGGCCGTGCCCGGCAAGGGCCTGGCTCACCTCTAAAACGGTATGCCCCGTCGCATTCTTGACCCCAGCAAGAACCTCGCGCTTCCCGCCATCCTCGCCTGTCAGGACCTCAAGAACACCGAAATTTAACCCGATGTAATATCCTCCTTGTCCGCCATCTAGTTCTTCGTCGCTGGCAACTTTGGTTTCTTTGTCACGGTTCTTATTTCGCTTCCCGCTCCTTGGCGATGGAGGAGCGCCCGACCTATGTGCAGAAAATGTGTCCAGGACCGGTTTGCAGACCCGTCCGTATAATTTGTGTTGTCCGCAGTGATGGGTCAGTCCGCTGCTCGTGATTTCGTAGTACCCTGGTTGACCAGAAATCTCGGCGTGGTGTACGTCCCCGCTCAAAAACATCACCGGTGCGGGTTCTGCACGCCGGTCGCTCCCCCTGCTTCCGATATCGGCAGCGGGAGACGCAGCGCCGTAATGCGTTCGCAAGAGATTCCAGAGGCGCTCCTGTTCCCTTGGGAAGTGTCCCCAGCCCTCCATGATGGGGTTGGTGCTCCAAACCTGGACGCTGCTCAGAATCACAAAGAGCTCGGGTGGATCTAGCTTTGCTGCCGTGGACGACGGTTGGGACGACTCGACGAGCAGTTCGTTTTCCAGCCACGCCCATTGATCATCTCCCAAAACCTTTGCGTTTCTGCAGTTACCCTTTCCCCAAAGCCAGGCATACTTGTGAAGCAACAAACCCTATCGTGCAATGCATCGAGGCGTGGGCGTTTCAAATACGAAAAGGAATAGGCGGTTTTACACGGCACGACACAGAATGACAGGACACGAGACGAGACGAGACGAAAGCAACCAGCATTTCGAAACCGATAAGAATATGGAATCTACAATAGCCACAGAGCATACGAAGCTGCCACAACAAGAGGAAATATTTTGAAACTGTACGCACCGAGGTCATCCACCGCGTCAGACAGGCCACCGCGTTTCCCATTGGTATCCTGTGTGCGATGCTCGGTATGCAATGGTCCTCGCGGAACCACCTCGTGTCGAGCACAAGTATTCGTATCCTTCCGTTCTCCAGGTCGACCCTGTGGTACATTCCCTCCCGCGAGGGATTGTCCGGTTGCTCGCCCCTGGCACCGGCCGCCCCGCTCCCTAGAAATTCGCGATAGACCGCTTGGCGCCGTTTCTTTTCGGGCATCTTGGCACCCATGTCGTTGCCACCAAAGTCGTGATCGTCCCACACTCCCGTGATGAGTGGACGACCACCGGAGTCGAAACCTCGGGAAGAGTGGTAGTAGTGATCCAATCGGTCGAGGAAGCCCTTGTACCCAATGGTGGCGTTCTCGTGCTTCATGGCGCGGAGGTGGGCCTCCACTTCCGCCGGGGGCGCCGGCCCGTAGTATTTCTTGTGGGTGACGGGGTCCCTATGCGAAGGGTAGATTGCATCTCCAAGCCAAAGCCACGCGTCGAGGTGTCGCGGCGTCTCCGGTGTAACGGGATCGCCGCCATCTGGAGGAGGGAGGATGGTTTCCCATATAGGTGGCGTGGCAGACTTGTCGCTCTTGTGGCAGGACCCAAATGCAATTCGGGAGGTTGTCTCCGCTTGCTTCGTATCCTCGTTGGCTCCATCTTTTTCCATTCTTTCTTCGTCCCTTTTTTCTGTGACCGCAAATGTAGAAGTATCGCAGCTGTTGTGGAGGGTGATTGCTATTGATTGTGTCGTTGCCGCTTTGATTTGGAAGTACCTGGTATCGTACCGTACGAAGATGTTGTGCTAAAGCGGAATCAGATTTTATATTTTCAGTGGAGGCAAAGGCAATGACACAGAACAGTTTCTATTTCTATTCGAAGTTTGTACTTGTACTTAAAAAGAGTATGAGTAGTAGGTAAGTATAGTACTTTCACATAAGATCTTTTTTCATTTCTTCAGAAAAATTTGAGATTGAGATTCTGTTTCATTCGTCCAGTCTCAATGACAATTCTGGTAGCAATATTATTATGAAAATCTTCCGGAAGGAAACAAATATTTTTGTTCCGATCGAACTCACTCTCATAGTAATATGTCGCTCATTGCGGTTGCTTTGTCCTTTTTGGTCAAAGTTGGTTTTGCTACTTCATGTGTTTCTCGAAAAAAGCCTTTGCGCCCTCAATGGCCGTTTCGACCCCGGCCTTGACGGCGGGATCGGCCACGTCTCCCCGACTGACCCATCCGTGGAGCATTTCTGGAAATTCCTTGACCTCCCCTCCGCTGTTTGCAATGGCTTTCGCGCAGTATCCCTCCCCGAGGTAGTTCTTGGCGTCGTTCTTGGCCCACAGCGCTAGGGTCGGCTGCTTCAGGGCGTTCATCATGGCCTCCTCGTCGCCGCCAAAGACAGCGGATTCGAGGACCGTCGTCGGGTGACAGCCCACCGCGCAGGCAAAGTCCACGTCCCCCGTTGCACTCGCCTTGCACTGGAGCCACTGGCCAAAGCAAAAGCCAAGAACACCGAGGGGCTGCCCGGGGCTTTTTTCGTTCAGAAAGGCAGCGGCCGCCTTGACTCGCGGCCCCAGCACCTCGTAGGACTGCTTCTTGAACCAGTCCACGCCGCCATCCTGGGCAAAGCTGTCGAATGTCAAAAAGTCCCCGTCGTCTGGCCCCTTCACGGCCTCGTCGTACGGCTGGTCACGGAAGACGCCCGCCAGGGCCACGTGATATCCCTCCCCGGCCAGTGCGTCGCTAATGGACCCGATCCGATCGCCCGATCGCACGTGGGGCAGCAGGACGCGGACGCTGTAGATGTCGGGGAGGACCAGGATGCTTCCCTTCGTGGTCTTGCCCTCGGCGGCCTTGGCGTAATAGATCGACAGGGCCTCCTGGCCCTCCACCGGGATGGTCAGGATCTCTCCCTTCGGGGGAGGAAGATCGTCCTTGTTGAGATCTTCCTTCGAGGTAACCAGCAGCTGGGGCCAAGAACCGGAGGGGCAGCAAGCGGGAGACATGGTAGAACAAAGCGGGTCCTGAATCAGATAGCGAATGCTCGTTTTGTGTTGAACTGCTAGAGTATTTTGCGTACGATGCGGTGCATGACGGGGAGAAAACGAGAAGAGAAACTGCTGCAGGGTTCCGGTATCGTGCGGTACGACTCGTACTTGTTTGTAGCAGGCAACGAACCGCACGATTGCCTTACCGTGTGGGTACCAATTTGTTCAACTCACACACTTTTCGAGTTGGCGTACCGCACGGTCCGGTACCGGTTACTGTAGAAGAGGAATCACGTTCTGTTAATCCCTTCGTTGAGGTTTTTGATTCAGTGTATTGTAAAAATAAACACCGACGCGCTCGTTCATGGCGTTCAGAACCACTGTGTGCCGGTAAGTGTTCTCATGGTTTGGTCGCGGGGTAGATGGTGCGAAATATTGATAGGCTCCTTAGTGTACCGAATGATAGTAAGTCACTATCTACTCGTGATTTAGGCTCACAGTCATTTAGGGTCACAGATGGGTCAGGTATGGTACCGGTACGGAAATGAAATAGTATGAATTAGAAGTATCTCAAAACCAATCTTGATTTCAAACGCGATCTAAAAAGATTTTTCATTTCGGGACTCACAGATCATACCGTACGGTATGGTAGGACTGACTCAAAAAAGTCATCTCAGTATCGTACCGTATGGCAGACCGTAGGGACGGTTCGTATGTACGCCGTCCTTGATCCCTTAGCATTTGTGCGTGCAAGACATTACTGTACTACCGTACGTATGGTACTATTGTGTACAAGTAATTAATACGTTCGAGATAACTCGTGAAAATTTACATACCGTACGTATGGTACGAGTACGGGTACGTACGATGTACACCTTCCCCTAGTTCTATTTTGATGACCCATGCCCTCTCCAAATATCCCATTGCAAAACACGACAAGAAGTTGAAGGCCCGGCATCTCTGGCAAGAGCAACCGTCCTTAAAATTTGGACTGCCCGAGCTCGCCACAGCTTACTCTCCGCTGCAACCACCCCAAAGCATGTCTGCAGCGCCGAGGAGACCGAAGAGTCGTTCCCAGCAGACAACACCAAATAGCCACCAAAGGGATCAGAATCACGCGCACAGGGTTGGCGGGAACGCGGTGCCGTCGTCGTTTTCGATTTCGTCTGCGCCGCGGCGCAAGAAACACCGCATCCGTTCGTTGGTTGTAGCGGCCGTTGTATTGGTTCTGTGTGCGTACCTCCTATGGCTAGGCATTTCGCTGGTCTTCGTTCTGAAGCTCTCCTCCGAATCACGGAACAAAAACAATCGCGTCCACTCGGGGATTTCTCCTATCAGCAAGCAGCGGCAGTTTACCGATACCAGCCTTCACAAGTTGAAACAAACGCGAGCGGATGAGAACGTCAAATCGAATGCAGGTGGAAAGGGCGACGACAGCAGTCCCCAGGATGCTCCCTATAAAATTGTTCACAGCCTGACCACTCGTTTCATGCTGGGCCAAAAAGGCCAGCCCGTCCTGGCACGGGCCAGGTACCTCCTCTTCGAGACCTTTTGCCAGCCGACCGTCCGATACCAAACTGCTCTCAGAGCCAAAGGCTACGATTTTTCGTGGTTCGTCTTTGTCGATCCAGGCATCGATCCGGCCGTCATCGAGGACATGCGGGCTCTTCTAACCCCATCGACGGACGGCGAGGGAGATCCGAGGTTTCCGGACGGAAACGCCTATCTGATCCTCACGGACAACCCGTCCTGGGCCGCGGACGGAATAGGGGTGCCCGGGGTCACCTCCTATGGAGCAGGATTCCAGGAGGTTGCGCGGGCCGTCCGGGACGGGACCGTGGAACTTCTCACCGGGGATGCGACGAGGCTGGTGGAGACGCTGGAGCGGGACGTTGAGGGAGGCGGGGGGAACGACCAAACCCCCACCATGCTCATTGAGACGATGTTGGATGCCGACGATGGCCTGAACAACCGGGCGATCGAATGGATCCAGGACCTGGCCGTGGGACATGTACGGAAACAGCAAGGCCTGGAAACCGCAAGAACAACCACACCATCCCTGGACTCTACCTGGTGGTTGTTGTGTGGGACAGACCACATCGAATGGCACAACCGAGACATTTTCCGGCTGACCGAAACGCAGTACCAGAAACACGGATTGTCGAGCGGCATCGTTGGCCTGCGCCACGCACCACACTACTGCGCTTCGGCCGGGTTCACCCGGGTGGGCCTGACGACGAAAGCAGCTGCGGGTGGGAACAACGAAGCAGAACCACCGCTTCTTTCTTTCCCTCAGGTCGCTTATAGCAACCATGCACTGGCGACGGAGGAGTTCGATCTCTGCAACGACGGAGAGGGAGGGGATCCCAAGATTTCCCTGGCAAAATGCTTCCGGAGGGACTTTGAGGGCTTGAACTATGTCCTCAAGTCAAGGAGCATCACGTCAGACAGCATGGACCACATGGATCCGAGGAACAAAGACTACCGCGACCTTCCATGGGAAAGCAAAGAAGAGCACCCCCTGCTGGCGCTGGACGCACCGGAACAGATGTGGGGGATCGTCCGGGACGAGTTTTCCATCGATCAGAAGAAGGCGCGGGAGACAAGCGTGTACCTAAGAGAGAACCTCGCTTCGATTCTCAAGGAAAATAGAGACAGCCGTTGCGCCCCCGGCTTTCCGTGCCGGGAGGTTGCTGACGTGGCCTTTAAGAAGATGACCGCTCACATCCACCGCCTTAACAAGTTCGATCGAGCCGAAGCTGCTAAGCAGAATGGGAAGTAAAGCCTGAGTGTATGGCACGCGATGAAAAGGGAGAATACGAATCGGGCGAGGCAATGACACGCTACAAAAGAATTGTATATTAAAGCGTTTTTCATATGCTACGGTTACTCAAATGATTCATGGAAGAGAAAGGAAAAGAACAAGATTACCAGCATTCTTTTTCCCGATGCAAGAGCACCATGGCGCTTCAAGGGCGACCGAATCGGAATGCTTTGTCGGAGAAGCGAACCTTGCTGCCAGACTTTTCCAACAGCCCAAGGGTCCTCATACCGGACATGATGTTTTTGTAGCCGGAAGAGTCGCTGCGCGTGTATCCTGCAACGTTAACCAAATCCTTGGTTGTGTGCCAATCCCCTTTTCCTAGTGTTTCGAACACCTTTTCAAGCTTCGACTCGGGAGCTTTGACCGATTTCTTCAGAATCTCTTTGAAATGAGCGTGGACTTCTTCGTTGTTGAGTGGCTCAGCTGCGACGACGATAAGTCCGGTGTCGACCAAATGCTTGCGGCCTTCTTCGGTCAGTGAATAGGTAGTCACCTTATTTTTTGTGGTTCTTGTGACGTAACATAGTTGCTTTATGAGTTCCTTGGTTGCCTTCCGATATCCATTGCTATCGCTGCGAGCGTATCCGGTAGCCTTTAAGAGAACTTCTTCTTTGACCACCGAAACTCCGACTTGATCCATTTCGGCCATCTTTTTCAAGATGGTGTCGACCGGAGTCTTTGCAAATTTTTTGGTGGACTTTGTTTTGGACAAAGTGGGCTTTGTCTTGACAGCAATCGCGTTCTTTTTTCCTAAAAAGGAAGCGACCAAAGAAATTGCATTAGCTGTGCATTCCGCGGTGGTGATTTCTTGAAACTTATGGAGCCTAGGTGTTCACATCTTGTGACCTAAGTCCGGAAGCCTTTCGAAAACTTACCTGCACGTGCCATTTTTGTTGCAAATATGAATGAATTTGATGGACGATATGATTTACTGATTACCGAAGATTTTACAATCTACTTGATCTTTTTTGTGAAGAGGACGAAGACCGCCCGGAAAATGCGGCTAAATTGCACAACTGCATTATTTTGAAAGCGAGAAACCAATTGCGTCGATAATCGTGGAAATCTGGCGGTTGTCGTTTTTATTTTCGATTTTCAAATTTTTGAGCAAGTGCGTTCAATCAGTAATCACAGCGGGTACGAGTACCCATCAATTTTTATTCTTGGTTTTATGGTTTCGGTTATTTGAGTTAGTTCTAGGTTGTCCGCGTGCACTTCTCTAAAATATTACCATCAGCACGAATGCAAACTTACATGTAATATCTTGCCTCCTTACAGTAGTAAAGTACCTAACTACAATGTATTGCAACCATTACCAAGAAAATTGGCAGAAAGATAACACTGCACGACAAAATTATTCTATTCCGGTAATCTGAATTATTACGATACCACATCTTCCTGTAAGTCCTTTCCACTAATTTGACCTCTGGACGATAGACTACATTTCACAACGTTCAGCTATCGGGTGTGAGTCGATGGTACAGCTACAATTTTTCCATAGTTTGTATTTCAAAGAGAATGCACGGTTCGATACTACGTAAGTAAATTCATAGATGACTTTGGTAGTCGTGTCACTCAAGGACTTGATAACTTTGAAATAGAAAGTGCGCATGGTATCAGGGTTGTGACCATCCATCGGTGTTTTCTATACATATGAGTCACCATACAATATCTGGCGTCCCAAAGGCTCGTATCCCATCTCATCGAAAACATAATGAAAAATGGAACGATTGATTGCCGTTATCACTATCTCGTAAGATGCTTATTGATGCACAACATCACCAGACCCGGGTGACAAAGGGATGTTGACAACAACACTTTCCTTCGCCTTCTCCAATGTGTTTCCAGCGGAGAAGTTTTCTCCGTGGAATTGAATTTAAGTTTTGTTGCAACGTAACTTTTTCCTTTCGATGATAGGATAGATTATGGCAGAGTTTGTTGCGGGCGAAGGAGAACGTTGCCTGTTTCGTTTGCGCTCACGTACTGCGCACAGACTGTGATTCGTGAGAAAGAAATGCTCAAATAATGAGAAAACGACACCCGGTTCTCGTACCGTACTTAAGTAACGTGCACTTCGGTACGACTGCTGGTCGAAATTCAAAACGATTTTGTAGCGACTGAAAACAGGGAAAAGTGCGGCAATAACAACATGATGAAAAAGACGATTCGTAGTCACAGCTGCCATCTGACGCCGCAGTCAAAAAGTATTTCGAATGCGCTAGGTCATATGATCTGTAACCTGAAGCGAAAGTGAATCCAATCCGGAAGTCGCTAACCTAGGTCCCAACGAGATAATACTACAAAACTCATCGATTGTATTGAAAACCGAGCAGAAAGGATTTTCAGTTTGAATTGAAGGTAAGAATTGAAGTGCTTCGGAAGTTGTTCATTCGCAAGTTGTTTTTGTGTTGTACCATACGATTGGATTTGTATTGTGCTTCATTCTTTCGATCGGTTAATGTCAATCTTGTTTCTTTTACAATTCGTGTCGAATCGTAGAGTCGATTCTTCTGGATCAAGTTATTTCCAATTCTTTCTATCGGATTGGTATACATTTATTGATTTTGCAAGAAGAGCATCGTTTGAAAACCAAGAATAAGCGAAATATCTGATTTTTATTTAATTACTGATATGAGCTCGCTTCAAAAGGCTCTAAAAGAATCAAAGAAGGGTGACAGTGAGGGAAATAAGCAGTCAAAGAAAGGCACGAAAACATTCACACCTATCATAAGGACGGTTGATGCTGATTCATCTTCCGATGACGACTCTGCTTCGTCTGATGATTCGAGCGTGAACTCGGACAGAAAACAGAGAAAAAGAGAGAGCGAAGAAATGATAAAGATTCGACAACAAGCTATTAACTTGATAAACTCCCCTAGCACAGGACCCAATTCGGAAAAATATAATTCCCCGTACCAACAGCAATCTGCAGGACAGCGATCGGCCGGTCAAAACCTCTATACCTCCCCGTCTATGGGATCATCACCACAGGTCGCTTCCTATCATTCCTCCAATCCACATTCTATGCACAGTCCGAGTGCACATCCACGGGCACGTACTGCGGAGGATTTATCAATGAAAGACATGTTCGTGAACTGCGTTTCGGAGGTTTGCAAGTCTTCCTCCTCGGAACTCCTCCACAAGGTCCTGAGCGCGGGCTACAAGAGCGTCAGTAATTACAACGACCCACCAGTCAGCGGAACTTGGGGTGATTCGATAGATACGTCTCAGCACGGCTACGGTAACGGGAACAGAAGAAACTGCGGCAATGGTGGAGTAGGAAATATGCCTTCGAGGTATCAAGATTGATTGCAACGATAGATAAAAACTGATTGACATAGACTTGAGGACGAAAGGAAACGGTAATTCTGGTGTGCTGTATTGTTCGTTGGATTTGCTAGGGCTATGCCATCCATTGAAAGGAAGGGCAATGCGTCCGTAGCAAAACGAACAGATACCTACAACTGCAAAACAAAAGTAAGGAGGAAAAACGAAGGTAGTCTTCCATATCCTACGAGAGTAATGGAAGAGTTGTTTGGCAATGAAATATTTATTTTTACAGGTGTTCACCATGCACAACGTAGATTAATTCATAGAGAAAGACTGCAATACATTTTAAATCTCTAGCAATTGATTCTTTCATTGCGTGTTGGCAAATATTAGCTGCAATTCAATAAACTCTTCAATTCATGACGTGCTCATCACTGCTTAGGAATCTAGTAATTTAGATAATTCATGTCGAGTGTATGGCAGACTGCAATCGATGAGGAAAATTAGGAACTATCTTTCAATTTGTCTATTGTATTTGAATTCAAAAATAGGACCTCTGCATAGCTATTTAAAAAAGGTAAGAGCCTATTGCGAAAAGACCGGTCAACCACCAACCGACTCGACGGGACCGAATGATTTATGGATTGATGCAGGAAGGGCAATCACGTCTTCCATTCAACTAAGTCTCGTTTACAAGCTTTCGAAAGGAGCCCAGTAGTTTCCGTCGTAGTGCTTGACAATGCTTGTCAGTGTGGGGACGGATCCTTCCACGGTTTCGGCCGTAACGAATCCAAAGATTCCGATCATTGCCAATCGACCGTTGTTGATTTCGGCCTTGAGTCCACGTGCCTTGGCTTCCTCCGACTTATTCTTGGAGGTTCCGAAGGGATCAAAGAGATCAAAAGGAACTGGGTGGGGAAGCTTGCCCTTGAAGCTTGGGTATTCTCCGATCTTGTCCGTCTTGTTGACGTACCAGAACCATTCGAGGACTCCGACGAATCCAATGATCTGCAACTTGGATGCCAAAGGAAGGGCATCCCACTGTGCGGGAGGCGAAAGGTCGGTGCTAGGGTAAGACACACCATCGGTGGTCAACTTCCATGGGAAGACAACGTTGGATTGGACAACGTGTCCGACGAAAGCAGCCATGGCGACACGTCCGTGCTTAATTTCGGCTTCTCGGAGGAATCGGATGGATTCTTCCGCATCCATACCGTAGAGACCGGCATCGGCAAGGTTCAAAGGATCCCAGAATTTGACGAGAGGGTTGAGTTCGCCAGCCAAAGTTTCGAGGTCAGCCTATCGGAGGAAGCATCGGGAGCAACACGTTAGTAAATCTACGGCACGATGACAAAACGAGGCAAGGACGGAATTTGGGTCGGCACCTCATTTCGAGGCCCGTTTGACGCCTCGTCTTACGCACGCACCTTGGTCTCCGACATCTGGGTCGATTGCCGAGTGGCAACATTCTGTGAGGTGAATGCGGCAACGGGGGCCGCAAGTGCGAGAATGGATACGGTCTTCATGGTGCTTCTTATTGTACTATGCAATTGTGATACTCAGGGGGTGAGGTAGCTAGTTGATACTTCGCGTCTGCCAGGGTCGTCGTCGACTCTCTTGATGCGGAAACGAACGACTGACTTTTCTCAATTGCAATCGTTCTTCCCTTATTTTCTATCGTGACCAAAATTGCGTATCTTTCAGCTCAACTTGCGGGGGGACGGTCAGACAAAAATAATACGGTAGTTTTATATTTATATCTTTAACCTTAACGTATTTTTCTAAACATTTTCGATTTTCGACGTGCCCCCGAACAACATCATCGAAGGTCAAACACAACAATTTCTTCCCCCCTATTTTGAATAAACAATCTGAAGTCGAACACCCGCCTTGTTGTGTTCGATCGTCATCGATCGAATCATCGAAAATCCCACCGTGAAGCGTCTGAAAATATTCCATCTACCACCTACTGAGCTCGTACGGTTCCACTGACCATTGAGGTTTGAGATTGCTGCCGCGGACAGTTTTCTACTTCTACAAAAATAAGTACCACTATCACACGCACACGACAATCGTCTCGAGAACAATGTCGAACGTCACCGTGATCGGCCTCGGGGCCATGGGAGGAGGAATGGCACGGTCGCTGTTGCGATCCGACGCCGTGGCGAGTGTTTCCGGTTTCGATCTCAACCCGGAACTCGTTTCCGGCTTTCACGGGGAAGCCAAGCAGGCCGGAAAGGCGGTCGGGGACGAACCACCGGAATCGTTGACGCTGGACAAATTCGTGGATGCCGAAACGACGGACGTCGCCCTGATCGTCCTGGTGAACGAGGCGCAGTGCCAATCGGTCTGTTTCGACGGAGAAAACGGCCGCAACCTCCGGTCCTTGATGCGTCCGGGATCGACGGTCATCGTTTCTTCGACCGTGACCCCTGCCTGGAGCAAGCGGGCGTCTTCCGGGTTTGCGGAAGCCGGCATCCGCTTCCTGGACTGCCCCATATCCGGCGGCCCCGTCCGGGCCCTAGCGGGAGAAATCACGATGATGTGCTCGGGAGACCCCGAGGACCTGAACGACGCGGACCCTCTCTTCCGAGCCATGGGAACCGAGATCCACGTCGTGAAGGGAGGAGTGGGGATGGGGTCGACCGTCAAGATGGTGCACCAGCTCCTCGCGGGGGTGCACATTGCCGTCGCCGCGGAAGCTCTGGCCCTGGCAGCCAAGGCGGGCCTCGACGTCCGGCAGCTCTACGACATCGTGCGGGGGGCCGCCGGAAACAGCTGGATGTTTGGCGACCGGGGGAAGCGCATGATCGAATACACCGGCAAGGACGACGAGAAGGTCATGAGCTCGCTGGCGATCTTCATCAAGGACATGGACATTGTGTACAGCAGCGCAAAAGCGCTCAAGTGCCCGGTCCCCATCGCCACGGCGGCCCTCCAGCAATACATCGGGGGTTCCGGACTGGGACTGGACCGGAAGGACGATTCCCAGGTGGTCCGGGCCTACGAAGCGCTGTCCGGGGTCTCCGTATCGGCCTCCGCGTCGGCGTTCGCGTCGGCCTCCGCGTCGAAATCGGAGACGCCCGCGGCCCCTCCTCCTCCCGATGGAGAAGCCTCCGGAACCGGGGCCGAAACCGAGGCCGGAACCTCCTGGACCCTCCCGGACGGAACCGAGGAAGCCATTGTGGACTGCTGCGAGGAACCCCACCACCGCCCCATCCTCTCCAACGGCTTTGTCCGGGTCCTCGAGGCCAGGATCCCCCCCGGCGACACCACGGTGGCCCACCGCCACTCGAGGCCCTCCCTGTACATCTTTTTGTCCGAGCACGGGGCCGACCTGGAGAACCACGTCCTCGGCTCCCCCGGGCCGGTGGCCGACCGGGTCGGCTTCGGGGAGGTCCGGTACGGTGCCCACAGCGAGACGGACCCGCTGGTGCACAAGCTGGCCAACCAGGGGAGCAGCCCTTCCGAGATGGTCTGCCTCGACGCGGAGGTCCTCTCGGCGGCCCCGGTGGTCCGGTCCGAGCCCCTGGCGGAGGCCCGCCACGAGCTGGTGGCCTCGCACCCGGGCTGCCGGGTCTACCGCCTGGTCCTCCGGCCGGGGGAGTCCGCGGAAGTCGGCTACCCCTTCTTTTCCCTGGGCGTGGTGATGAAGGGATCGACGGCAAGGACCGCCATCGGGGGTGTGTCCTGGGAGGAAGCCCGCCGCACGGGACGGGCGGAGTGGAAGGCCCCCTCGGCGGGGGAACGGCTCTCCAACACGGGCGACACCGTGTACGAGCAATACGTGGTGGAATGGTGCTAGCCCGGGCAGGAACGGAACGGGACGGGACGGGCGAGCCGTGCAAGAACCCGCAGGCACCACCGTGCGTGGGCATCGGGACCCGCGGAGCGGCGCCATCGCACCGGCGGTCGAATGCCCGGCCCAACCTCCGGAGACCACCGGCTTGGCCCTAGCAGCCCAACACGCTGCAGTCCTGCGGAGAGAACTATCGTATGGAGTACAATACTAGGGCTAGCGAGTGCGACCGCATCGCACCATAGGAATACTATTGCAGCAATAGTAGTAGTAGTCGTAGCAGTAGTCGTAGCAGTAGTCGTAGCAGTAGTAGTAGCAGTAAGTACTTCTAGAACAGTGTTGTGCGATCGACAATGGGTTGCAGTTCTGGTGTGGGATGCCATATCGGATATCGGTGTGAAGTTTGATCGTTTGAACGTCATTTACATATGTAACATACTGTACCTCTTCTACATATTATATAACCAGACGGTCGGAGTCGAAACAAACAACAAACTCTGTCTCTGATCTCAACCGTACGGTACCGTACGTACTTACTACGATAAGTTCCATTACATTAGTACTTGTTACGTAATGCTTCACTTAGGGGTAGATACGTACGTACCCCGAGGAATGAATCGGCCGAGTCGACTCATTACATTACAATCCCCGATGCGGTGAAGCGATCGGTGTCAAGTGTCAACTTTCAACTGCTTCGACTTACGGAATCCGTACGGTACCGTACGGGAGGTTACCATACGGTACCGTACCGTACGAACCGTGCGATACGAAGAAGACAAGACCATTCGCAGACCACCAAAACAGAAAACAGAACCCAGGGGATTTCTCCTGTGTTGTGTACGGTTGTCATGTCATGGTACGAGTTCCGTACGTACCAGTACGACGCGAACGCAAAACGTGCCCCCCCCCCTCCACCTTGGTTGGTCTTGGCTTGGATGCTCTCTCGGTGACACGACACCCACCGGCAAGAGTAAAGTAAAGTAAAGTACGGTACGCATCGCAGGTTCGAGCAAGTTTGTATCGTATCGTGCCCTGCGTCGTACGTTCGTACCGTGCGGCATGGCACAACGCCCGTGCCGTGCTACCGGAGGCATCGGTGCAGGCCGAAGGACCCGGAGCGGCCGGGGCGGGGCAACCAAGACTCCCTGTTCCTCCCCGCAGCGGCGGGAGGGTGCCCCGCAAGGGTGCCCCGAACCCAGGCGGGACGAAGCGGGTCTGCTGTGCTGCGAGCGGGAACGGAACGGAACGGAACCGAATGCAGTGCAGTGCAGTGCAGCGCAGTGCTGTCGAAGCAATGCGGAGTGGGTGGGATAGGATGAGAAGCGAAGCGAAGCGATTCGATTCGGTTAGAACCAAACCAAAGCATAGAACACAAACAAACAAAACCCCAGCACGACGCAAGCAACACAACTGAACTGAACTCAACGCAACACATCGCAACAAAGCAACCCCAGCCCCCACCCACCCACCCCACCCTCCCGATGCATTTGCCGGACGAGCCCCCGGAAGGGATCCGGCGAAGGCCCGTTTCCGAGGGCTTGCGACGCCGACCCCCGCAAGGATCCCATGGTTTTCTCCCACCGGCGGCAGCGACGAACGCCCCGCCGGGCGGTTCCTCTTCCGACGGGCCCCGCGATCGTGTGGTTCGGGCCACCGCCGCGGGCCGGAAGCGAAGGGCTCGCGGCGGCGGCGCGGAAGCGAGGCCACACGCGACGGCAAAAGCAAAAGCAACCGCAAAAGCAACCGCACGTGCCTCGAAAAAGCTTCGGTGCCCAGAAGGTGCACGCTTCCGATCGCCGGGGATCCGGTGGGGACCCTCCCGTCTTCCCCGGAAGGAACCGGCGCCCCCGATGCTCCGGACCACCTCCGGCGGCTCGACGGAAATCATGGGACTCTCTCCCCCCGAGGCCCTCCTCGAGCGTGCCGAAACGGTGGACGCGGGTGGTGTTGCTGCTTCTCGTTTTCGTTCTCGTTCTGCTTCTGGTTCTGGTTCTGGTTCTGCTTCCGCCACAACCACCACCACCACCACATCCACAATGGCACGAAGGAAAGGCCCCCGGGATCCCGATCCGGTCCGAAAGCTCCTGGACGACTTTGATTCCGTGGCCCGCGACACCGGGGCTCCTCCCCGGGCAAACCACCGTTTCGGCACCAAGGGGCGGGCCGAAGGGCCTTTCACGGAAGCCTTTGGTGCAGGCGCTGCTCCCGCCTTGCCCGCCGCAAGCACGACACGGGGGGCCTTGCCCGCGAGAGAGCCGCTTGCGGAGCCAAGGCGCGTCTCCCTCGGGTCCCCGCCGCAAATGCCCGGAGGGTACGGAGGCCCGGAACAAAAGGGAAGAGCGGCAGTGGCAACGGCAATGGCAACGGCACTGGCAGTGGCAATGGCAGCCCCACCGTCTACCACGTCGGCAGCAAACCCACGACCGCCACGGCGGGGCCTTGTCCGAGACGAATGCGAGGACGAATACAAAGAAGAGGACGAATACAAAGAGGACGAGGACGAGGACGAGGACGAGGACTCTTCCGCGGGAAGCCTCGCCACCGGGCCGGTGGAATCCCTCCCGGGAAGCCTCTTTCGCGAATACTACGGAGACGGGGCCGGCGTGAGCGACTGGTCCGCCGACTGGGACGGCCTCTCGGTCGAGAGCCCTTTCTCGGACCGGGGGGGAGGCGGGCCCGGAGCACCACGAGCCCGTTCCGGAGCGGAAGGCAGCGGCGACAAAGAGGACAAAGAGCACGACGATAACGACGACGATAACGACCACGACCACGATAACGACCACGACTGCTACTACTACCATGGCAACAGAAAGTGCAACACCACCAACCACGACGACAACAACGGCTGGTTCCGCGGGTCCCTTCCCCGCAGGCCTCTGCTTCCCCCCCGCCGCACCACGGCCAATGGCGGGGGCCGGCGGACCCGACCGGGTTGCCGCTGGCAGGTCCTCTTCCTGCTCGGCCTGTGGCTCGGCGCGGCCCGGGTCGGCCCGGGGGAGGGCCGCCGGGGGGGCACGCACCGGCAGGGGGTTCCGGTGGGAGCGGGAGGACGACCAAAGGCAGGACCGCGCCGCGGGAGGGCCTCCGGACACCCCGTTCTCTTTTCGGCCGATCCCAGCGCGTCGCTCGCGAGGGCCGCCTCGACCGACCGGGCCGGCGTTGTGAGGTGAAAGGGCTGCAGCTGGAGGCACGGCGGGGTGCGGAGGAATGGAGGAGGAACCGCAGAGGCACGGACCGCGACAGGTGAGTCTCCGAACGACGGGCGCGTTTTGGACGATTGGTTGGGCTTGCTGGGCTGGTGTGAGTGTGTCTGTGTGTGTTTGTGTGCGTGTGTGCGTGCGTTCTCCCGAGCGAATCCATCGCCATCGGGTTCCCGGGCAGGTGGCAGAACCGAACCACCGGGGAGGGCGGGTCCCGCCCAAGGGACCCACCCGCCACCCTCCACCGGACCGATCTGCCCGCTCCGGCGTTCCTTTCTCCCGTCCCTGCGGGGAAAGGACGCGCCGGGGGCGCAAGCAGCAACGCCCAACCACCCAAAATACTGCTACGGGCTCGTCTCTTGCGTTGCCAAAAGAAACGATCCATCGATGCTATGCTGTGCGATGCTATGCTATGCGATGCGATGATATACGATCAATATCATGGTCCACGAAAGAAGGTTTCCCGTAACGACGATGTGACGAGAGAAGTGACTTGGGCCATACATTCCTACAAATACACACACACACACACGCACACGCACACACACACACACACACACACACGCCTGCAATGCTTTTGTTTCGCTGACGCCATTGTCGAATCTTGCCGTTTGCACCCACACCCGTTCGACTCTTTCGGTTTCCCCCGGAACGGCTGCAGGATTCTGGGCCCCCGGCCGCCCTTTCGCGTGCCGCGTGTGCAGCGAGAACACAAAACACCGCGTTGCCTCGACCACACCTACGTACAAGGAAAAAAATAGACTGCTTGCTTTGTTTTTTGTCTAACACTCGAACTAGTACTAGTACAGGGCCTTTTCCAAACCCAAAGTCCCTTCAGTATATTTTGCCGTAGGTCTGGTTCTTGCACAGCGCGTGGAAGGACTCGACGCAGCCGTCGTTGTGGGCCCCCGCGGCCTCGAATTCCACCCCCGGCCTCCCGGCCGAGGCGGGCCCGTCGCTCGCCGCCACCGAGACGATCAGCCTCCGCGCCGTGCCTTGGTCGGGGGAGACGTACCGGTCGTAGGCCTCCAGCACCTCCTCCCTCGTGACCGTCTTGAGGCAGGCGACCTCCTCGCGATGGGCTTCCCACAGGTACCGGCCGTCGCGGATCTCCTCCCACAGGTCCGTGGTCTCCTCGGCCAGGGAATTGGCCATGTGGAGCTTCTCCTTGGCCAGGCCCACCATGTGGCCCGTAAAGACCTCGGGGGCCATCTCCGCCAGGGAAAACCGAAAGTCACGGAGGAACCGATCGATCCGGTCCCTGATCTCACCCACGGGCCGGGAAGCGCTCACCACCGACAGGTGGAGGCCGATCACACCGTTCGTCCACCGCGAGGCGCACGCCACGCTGTAGCCGAACTGGTCCCTCGTGCGGATCTGGTGGTACATGGGCTCGTTCATGAGCTCGACCAAGAGGTCCACCAGCACCCGCACCCGGGTGTCGTCCCTCCCGACCTGGAGGTAGAACTCTACCGCCGCGTTGGACTCCCCGGGGTTCTTCGAGACGCAGGTCCGCTCGGTGGTCCCGGCCGGGAGCTTGTACACGAGCCTGCCCGGGTACTTCTTGCGGGGCAGGCCCCCGCCGCTTCCGGGGGAGCTCGCCTTCAGGAGGCGGAGGACGGCCTCCCCGGCCCCGACCGCGTCCCTGGAAGAGGCGTTGCCGGTGTGCAGGCCCTCCGCGCCGATCCTGGCCAGGAGGCCCGAGGCCGCTTCCGCAAAGGCCGGGACGCCCAGGGTCCTTATCGCCTCCAGCTTTTGCCGCGCCGAGTAGCTGCCGTTCCGGCAGATGCTCCGGATCCGGACGCCGCTGGCAATGGCCTTGGCCTTCATGCCGCTGTTGTGGCAGGACCGCCGGTAGTTCTCGAGGACCAGGCCGAACCGGCGCTCGCAAAAACCCTCCGGGAGGGCCCCCGTGTCGTTGTTCCGGAACCCAAGGAGGGTCTCCAGCAGGACGACAAAGAGGTCCATCAGCTTGTCGCTAAAGCCGTGGACCCGCATCGCCAGGCCACCGTCGTTGGTGCAGAGGGACGAGCCAATCTCGCAGACGCTGGCCATGTAGGTCACCTCGGTGAGGTGGTCGCACACGAGGTTGACCAGGAGGTCGGCACACGCGGCGTGCAGGGCCGTCTTGTTGGCCTCCGCGCAGTTCAGCTGCAGCCGGAGCTCCGCGATGGGCCGCTTGAAGACCCGGTCCTGGACGTGCCAGAGTTTCAGCTCGTTCGTGTTGGCAACGAGCTTGGGGAGCCGGTCGGGCGGGGCCTTGGGCGGTATGGCGGGGAACGCCTTGCCGTCTTCGACGTCCCAGTCGCTCTCGTCCCCGAACTTGAGGCTGGCTCTCTCCCCCTCTAGCGCCATGGACACGATCCTGTACTTTATCTTCTTGCCGTCGAGCGACCCCTCGAAATCCGGAGAGGTCAACCGCCCGTGCTTCAGCTCGGAGCTCGGCACGTCCAACCGGTGCCATTTTTCGTCCTCGTCTTCGTAGGCGCAAAGGATCTGGTTCTTCGTGCCGTTGTATTGCGTCACGGTTGCCGGGAACCATTCTTTCCGCTTCCCGACGGGGATTTGCAGCTTGATGGAACAGTTCAGGAGGGGATGGTCGCAGTCCGCCGGTGGCAGTGGTTTCAGCGAAAAATCGGTCGGAACGAACCCGTTCCGTTGAGGGAGGGCCAGCGGGGAGCTCGATGGCGGCAGCCCGGGCTCGGCGCGGTGCGTCCACTCTTCCAGGAGAGATGCGCTCAGCCGCTGGCACCAAAACGGGGTGCCGAAAATCGGCTCGATGTGGGGGGGACCGGCCCCGGCGGGATCGAAGAGTTCGTCGGAGGGGGGAAGAGCGTTCTGTTCCAGATCGAAGTTGTTGTAGTAATCGACGACACTGGGAGGAACAGACGCAGACCCTGATCCGTTGGTTTCTTCGTACTTGCTCGATCGACCGAACTGCGAGGAGGAAAGATCGATTCTCGCATTCGAGGGCGAAAAGAAGTTGTCCAAGAGATTTTGGACAGTTCCGGGGTCATAGTCGAACAAGAGCCCGCTGGCGTCTAGCAAACGCTCCGGAGGAGTGTTAAACCAAGGTGACATCTCTTCCGCCAAGTCTACAACAAAATCCTCCGGTGGTTCTTCGTCGGCGTAACGATGCGCAACCTCGTAAATGGATCGAAGTTCTTCGTAGATCCAAGCAGGGAGTCCACCTTCTTCCCTACAGTAGTGCCGCAACATACCAACATACCGGTACAGCTCGGTAACGACATCTCTCCAGTGCTCGACCCCCTCTTCGGACAGATTAATCGTTACCGTGAACAATGCGTAGGCCGTGGAATTTTCGGTTCCCTCGTCCCCAACTCCGGCACACAGTCCCGAAGCCCACGACTTTGATTTGAGGAACGCCAGCAGGGATCCTTTTGCTTCGTGACCGATGAGATGGGCGAGATAATCGCACGGCTTGGCCTTCCAGTTTACGTTCTGAGGCGGGATTTGCCATGTCACAGAGAGCGAATGCCTGTCTCTGACCGGAGCAACATAAAAAATCTTTTTCAATCCCGACTCTGTCATAGGTAGCCCGTAGGACTTCATTGGTGATTCGTAATGCTGATCCCAAGTGTAAGATCCCAGAGGGTCCTTCGATTTGATGTCGGAAAAAAACTTTAATACCTGCTCTTGTAGATAATCGAGTGGGTATCCTCCCACAACTGCCAATCGCATGTTCGACGCATAATGATGCTAGTGTTCAAACGAAACCACATTGTCCGAATATCCAATGAATGAAAAACAAAACGAAAATACGGGAATCAGCATCACAACCGACCAGATTCGCGCACAAAATAATGAAACAATTACATCGATGCACTCACCTCGTCGTAAAAGGTCCGGAGCATTTTCAACGGGTCGTGGCCTTCCTTCTCAGGAAGAGTCTTGAGGCTGTGGTAATTTCCCCATCCAAATTTCGAAGCCGGATGTTCCTCGAAGGATCGTCCACAGGTATAGGCCATGAGTTGTTGCAAACGAGACGAATCGGAGTTCTTGGCGAGCATGAATTCCGACTCGATCGCCTTGAGTTCTCGCTCGACACACGATTCGTTCAAAAGAGGTGACACGAAGAACTGGGCAAAGAGGTCTAGGGCGCCACTGAGCTGCTCCTGTGGGATTTCAAAGTGAAAGACGGTATGTTCGTTTTCGGTGTACGCGTTGTCACTCCCACCGTGCTTGCTCATGTATGCATCGTAGCAATTTTCTTCGGGATATTTCTCGCTCCCCATAAACAAAAGATGCTCCAAGAAATGCGCCATCCCTTGGCATTCCTTCGGATCGTATAAGGATCCAACCCCCACGACCATGGCGGCTGCGGCGTTGCGAAGGCCCCCGGCTTCTTCTTTTTCTCCCTCGTCGTAGCTTTCCGACAACGAGCCACTGGTCTCGCCTCCCTCGGATTTGGCTTCATCGACGTCCATGCAATCGCTGTCGTCGTCGTCGTCACTGAAATCATCTAGAATCCCCCCAAGATTATAGGCTTGCGTCATAGCAACAACATCGCTCACCAGCACCGCTCGCAACCCGTTGGGTAACAAAATCTGGCGATAAATTTTCTTGTCAAAGGGTGATCGAGATGCATTGAGATCGGGACCTTCCACGACGGCAGTGGCAGCGGTGGTGCTCGCATCTGTGACTCCTTTTCCTTTGACCATAATAGTCAATTGTCTTGCCGTTTCTATTGATTTTGAGTGGATGGCGCGTCTTCACCTGCTCCTATACCCTTAGATTTGCTCACTGTGCTTAATACTTGCGACGACCAATAGGAGCTTAATTATTGTCACTGCCAACAAAGCCAAAATGATGGGTTGCTGCGGACGAGTGAATAATACTCGTACTTGTTTCAGTGAAAATGATGGTTCGTTCGGAATAGCTACTTGAAATACTTAACCGTTGCTACCGTACGGTGGGCCATTTTTTCTCAAATTTTGCTCGAGAACTGGAAGAAAAATTTACCGACGACCTACTGACTACGCGAGGACGAAAATAGGACATGCATTTACGAGGAAGTACAAATTGGGTCGCTGAAGCAAATACTGTAGTTACTACGGTGCAAAAACTAAGTGCGAAGGTAAAATGTACTTCTAACAGTCTAAAAGTAATTTAGAAGCTTAGTAGTATCAATCAAAGCACTGTGGCTGTTTGTCGTTTCTGAAATAGGAATGGAATTCATTGATTTGTTGTATATGTTGAACATTGTTGGCAGTGTTGTTTTGTGTAAGAAGCAAGAAGGAGAAGAGGTGTTCTTAGTACAAACAGACCACCACTGCTTCTTCTTGTGGTGGAACAAGAACAACAACAAGGAGAAGTTATTCTAGTACTACTACTAGTAGTAGTAGTACCCCCACTAACTTGTCCTCTTATTCTTGAAAGCATCACAACCATAGCATAAATCCAATTGCTTGTGGAGGACCAAGAAGTTGAAACCAACACATTTTCTAAAGATCTTTCCTGTAATTTGTAAACCGTTTTTGCATTGGCAAAATTAATTGGGAATTGTTGAAATAGAAATTATATCACAGTTTGTCACATAATAAGTTCACATACTAGTCCAATGTATCCAACTGCTGTTTGATGCTACTAGCAAATGATATAATTTCAATAATGAGCATACGCATCTAATTTTCCCATGCATCATCCTCTATAACATTAGATCTATTATAATTTAGATGGCAAGCTAGTGTATGAAGTAAGTAATGTTACTACTAGTAGTAGTACTGACATTAGTAGTAAGTGGACAACCAAAAACCTCAAGTTTGTAGGTTACTAGTACTAGGAGTCTTCCAGTACAGTATTGCTATCTGATGACATGATAAGAATGCCCCTTTTTGTTAACAAGAAGAAGAGTCTCCTCCCACTGGTTTGAGTCGAATGAATTACTTTTGAATGTCCAGTACCCTGGTGATACTACAACAAGCATATGAACTGATCTTTATTGTTAATGGTTGCCCTGAGATCTTGTATTATGTAGTACTTCTTCTTGTTGCAGTTATTACCAAGAATCTTCCCTTGGAATCCCTCCTTTTCTTCAATCAATTGGATGAATGCACAGATTTTAGATGTCAAAACATAAGCAGTAACAATCCAGCTAGTATACATTTCCACTGTCCCTATCATTTTGAAAATTCAACTTTGTATGGTAGTACCTGATATTTTCCAAGATTCCAGCAGTACATGATGTGAAGTTCTTTAATAACTTCCACATATTTTTCCTGCCAGAATGACAGTATCCATATCCTCCATTTTCTGGTGCCAGCTGACTTTCCTGACATTGGAATGATACTGTTTTATCTTTTTGGAAGGCACTGCTGACAACTAATGGATTCCTAACTATTCCCCCTGGAACCTTGGGCAAATGATTTGCAGAATGGTTTGACACCTCCATCTGGCAAAACAATACTATCAGACTAATATCAGTTGGCATCATGTTTTTATGGACCACATTTCCCAGCATTGGATCTCAGATCTAGGTCTCAATTCAGGTTCATATTCTCTGTGGTTTAAGGAGCCTCCTTGTTTGAAAACTTTCTGTGTTTGTATTGCTCTGTAGGAGCAAAGCAAGCAATAAAGCTTTCTAGTATGGTCTCACTGTTCTCCAAAAGCATTGCCTACACCAAGCATTATTACTAGAGGAGAGAGTCATGGTGCACTTTTTTGTCTCCACCTCAAACTTGTCCAACTGAAGCTACATTGTTTCCCCCTGACCCTGATGCATTGTTCCCATCCAATGTCCACCAATACTTCCTTCTCCTCATTTTACTGCTGGCAGAGTTTATGAACAAAATGTAGAGTATTCAAGTTGCAAGATGGTGCTATTACTGTTTCTACTATCAAGAATACCAATCTGTTTGCTCAGTACTACTAGTACTCCATCCCTCTATTGCTGACTACTGATTGCAAGAAGCAACCACTGGAGAGCATTGTCACTCAAGATATGTTGCTGGTATTTGATACATACTCCAAAAAAAGACAACAATACTTTAAATCATTCCAGCATATCTTACTAGTGCATCTGTCTTCTCCAGGAATCCTTCCCTTACAGCAACTACTACTAGTGGCAGGAGCAACCTTCTCCCACCACCAGCAAGAAGTGCTGATGGTTTTAGCTACCCTAATACCTCTGCTAGTTCACAACATTAAATATTTCTAGTTATTATTAAACAGAAAAATTAACATTATGCAATGCTCATGTGTTTTTTGGCTAGTCTTGGGGTTTGCCCACTTCTGCTTTGATGGTTGTATGCATTGTGACAGAACTTACTATCAAGTCTTGGGAATGGGATTCTCTTTCATTATGTAAAACTAAGAACTACTACTGGTTTGGTTTTATAATGCCCAATCATGGCAATGACTCCTCATGGGTTTAGTTGTCCCAGTTTTTGGTGGCTAAATGCTGCTGTAGAGGCTGTCAATGTTGACATTCAGCATTGCTAGTATGCTCTGTGATGCTCTTCACAAGCTTCTTGGAGAGGAAGAACTGTGTGTAGTATAAAATCAAATAAACATCAGATTAAGATCTAGTCTTTTGTATATTTTATCTCAACATCCCAACAAACAGATTGGGTTCAGTGGGTAGTTGGTTCATGCATTTTTTTCTGAAACTACCACCAGGACAAAACGTAGTGCTAGTAACACAGCTGGCTGGTGGGAAACAAGGAGGACGAGGAAGATTAGCTACTACTACAAGTAGTAGTACTAGTAGTATCATCATATATAGTAGCTTGTTGATTTCTAGTGACATCAAGGAGGACTGGTGTGAGGTACCAAAATGTATACAGATCCAGGTTGCGTATTGATTGCAACTGGTACAGATTGTAGTATGATAGTAGTACAACATGCTGCACTACTACTACTACTACTACTACTACTACTACTACTACTACTACTACTACTACTACTACTACTACTACTACTACTACTACTACTACTACTACTACTACTACTACAACAACAACAACAATTAGTACAACAACAACAACTACTACTACTACGTCCAAGAGATGCTTCTTAGGGTATAATTTTTGTTTGTCGCAACCATAATTTGTGCGTGTTTTTAATATGCACGGCAAAAAGTACACCCTGTTAGTAGTATTCCTTTGCTATCACGTCCCCACTGTTGACCACTTGAACAGACAGTACTGTTTCTATTTTTCTTTGTGACTTTAAAGAAATAATTCATTTGTGCATGTTGCACACACCAAATATAATTCCATTCATGAATGAAAATGTTCCAAGACCCATAACAAAATAATATTTTGTCACAATCACATCATGACCCCAAAAAAGGACTCAATTGTCAACTTTTTTACTATTGTCATCAATTCCTTTCTCCAGTTTCTTATAATCTATTTTCAAAACGTAAATTCTCACATACAGAGTATTACTCCCAATCCTTTTCTTGTATTCTGGACTACTGCTCTATACTACTGGTAGAATAAATAGATTCTCAAAATATGTAATATATACTACTATTGATTTTAAATTTTATTCTAGATCCTCCTCTTCCTTTTCTGTTTCTTCTCCATCTGATGATCATGTTGGTATATCACCTAAATGAAGAGGAATAGTGACAACAACGGTTCAATGCAACAACAAAATATTTTGTTCAGTGTATGGAACAAATGATTGCAGATTTAGTGTAGGATGAGTTCTTTACCATACAGATGAAGAAACATCACAAAAGGAACGAGGATCAGAAATGATTTTGTGTGTATCCCTAACCTTGAATGGAGTAAATAGACAAATAATCTTCATTCCAATTGGTCAAATCAGAAGTTTTTGGAAATTCAGGTGACATAGAGGACAGAAACTTTCTGAAATTAGATGCCCCTGAATCTTGTGGTGTATAATTATAAATTTAGTCGCACAGAGGCATTTAATTATTTTGAAAGGTGCATATTCTAAAAATTAGCGTCGCGCGTGGATGGGAGAGGTCCAGAACACTCTCTCGGAAGTAGTAGTAGTAGTAGTAGTAGTAGTAGTAGTAGTAGTAGCATTAGCATTAGCAAAACTAGTAATACTAGCAGCAATCCTGTTCCAGTATACTCCAAACCAAGTTAACCCAATTCTTCTAATTCCAGTGAAACCAAACCCTGGTCGCGTTTCCACCAAAACTCCTTGGAGGGAAGTGCCGCCCCTTGGAGCAGCTAGAAACATTCTTTCTAACGAAATTTCTAACAAAAGCTATGGTTCTGGCCATTTAGTGCCTCTTCTAGTTCACAAGGTTAAATATAAGATTAAGATTTTTTTTAATACTAGTAGCAGTCCTGTTGGATTTTGGGGGATATTGATTTGTCTGCATTTCCTGTTTGACAAGAAATTGTCATTTTTATTAGCTACTAGGAGCTTTTCCATGCTGGCAGCATTCTGAGCTGTTGTTTCTCTTCCTTGGACCAATCAAACAGATCTCATTCCTCTTGTTTCTATCCATGCATATCCAAACTTTATGGTGAATATATTGGAGTAATCCTTTCCTCCCTTCCACCTTGTTGCTGGCAATTTTCCTACTACTAGTAGTACTGTCCAGATATCAATTTTCGTCAGAAAGTTTCCTTTGCTGAGCCAGCCACCACCAGATGCTTCATCAGAAAGAAAGACTATGCTTTTGAGTCTTCATCATTCATTTAACAAACTCCTTTTCAGACATCTCTGCTTGTAACTGCCATTCCATTTCATTTCTTCTGGAATAACTTTTTGGAAAGCACTCATCATATCACTGGATAGGTAGCTCCTTTCATTACAACACACCCTAGCTCACAGGAAATTTTCCCTTGATCTTGGTACATCCCTTCCTTTGCTGCATTTGGTGGCTGCAATATCAGCTCAATCCTTGAGTCAGAAGGAAGTCCCACTTTCTCAAAGGAGCAGTCTCGACCATTCATTTGCTTGGAGAAAATGTAAATTTGTCTCTTAAAGTCGTCTTGTTCTCACCCTTGTTGAGTCCCTTTCATGATCCAGATTCTTGATTGCATCCTCATCATTCCTTCTTTTCAATACTTCACTGGAGAGCAAAGACTTCTTACTTGCCAACCTTGTCAAGATATAGCATTCACAATCTCTGTCAAATGGATAAACCTAGTAGTAGTAGTACTAGTTGTGCGTCAAATAAATCCTCAGATATTCCTCCTCCTTATACATCTCTGTACTAATACTAGTAGTAGTACTAATTTTTCGAATAGGGGTGTCTGGGAATCTAGTTTTGTTCATTTTCTTTTTCACCAATCTGTAGGAAATATCTGGGAATCTATTTTTATTCTAAAAATTGAAATTGACATAGTTCCTGGTATACTTTTTGTCCTATCCAGTAGGGTCTCCCCATGAAAATGGTGTTTAATCGACATGGTCGGAAAACAACGATCTTTTCCGAAGCTTCAATGAAACCCGAAAGGAAACCTCATCGAAAAGTACAAATCAATTTACCTTACCTTATCACCTTTCTCTCACAACCGCGATGGCATCTGACAAGTATCAATCAATTTGAAGCGAAAGAAAGACACGAAGGGAAAGGACCATTACAGAAGCAGTGATAACATATAGCAATGAGACGGCAGTCATTCCTCCTTCCTCTGGGAAAATCCATCTTACCTCTTGCCTTGATTCTTCTCGTCGCTGACAATGGATTCGCGTTTATGACAACATCTGAACCACTTGCGAGGCACAAGGGCGCCTCAAGCAAAGCTGTTCTTACGGAGAGAAGAATTTCTGTACATGAATCAGTGGTAAGGTCAAAAATACTATCAAGAAGAGTTTTCCCGTTTTCTTTGGCTGCCACAAGGTCCACCTCATCCGAAATCGAACGCCAATTTCTAGACGAGAAGCAACTAGATTTCACACTGGGATACCTGAACAAACACCACGGAAAAGGCCTGACGAAATTTTCCGAAGCATTCTCCAAGTTAGGAGCTCTAAAGGCAAAGAAAAACTCATGGAGTGGGGGCTCTTACAACATTTTATCAGCGAAGATAGTTAGCATCGACACCGTATCTTTCGAATTGGACGTCGAGGTTCAGTTACGAAACGAGGATCCTACCCTGGAACGAGTTGCGATTGAATTGGGTAGGTACAATTTCTTTCACATACAAGAATACAAATATTGTCAGCTTTCCATTAATGTCCGAAAATTCTTCTCAAGCAATTTGTCGCACTTTTTCACTTTATTTTTGTTATTCTTTCTTGGATTGTACGTTACAGACGCAATGCCTCTTACAAAGAGCCGCAAGCTAGTAGGCACATCGATCGACCCCATTCCACGCGATTTGAATCTTCTTCCCATTGATGAAATCGTTCGGCGTCTCTGTCGCTTGTTTTCAATTGTAAACGAACCGGAGAGCACGGGTAAATTGTTTCAGCTAGGAATGCAACTCGGTGGTAGTGACATTGGAAGGCTGAAGGAAAATATGTACCTCAACCAATGTCCACACAACCGCTACGTGAGGAAGTACTTCTACAATATGGTGGCAGATGCTACCCTGGAGGCAGCCATTTTGTGTTCCAAGGGAAGGATATCAAATCGAATGAAAATTACGGCCATGTTTCCGGAGATGAATCCGTCCATGGATTCGTATCGGTAGGTTTCTGTACTTCTGCGGGAGCATATGTTCCGAATGGATGAGAGACATTGGAACTAACTTATTGTGTTTTCAAATGTTTCTCGGTTTATAAGGATTGGAACCATTTTAGAAATGGTTCGAACGATTTCAATCAAGCTTGTCGAACAGAACCTCCGAGTCCGGGTATGCGTCCAGGGGTCGATGGGTGTAGGTATATTTACCGGCGTCCCGAAACAACTCGGTGGGGTATCAAAACTGCTACAGATGATGGACTGGCAATCAAACGAGGGAGAAGAAAACGAAGGGATGGTAGGAAACTACCTGAATTTTGGAAACATCGGTGCTGAACACGTAGTCAATTCACACGTGCGAGAGGACGGGACAAAAGTGGAACAAGACGATATCTTTATCCTCATTGCTCCACAGTCCATGGTTGGCGTTGAATCGTCAATCTATGAGCCACTGAAAGCAATGGTAGACGCTGCCGGAAGTCGTCCCATTATTTTACTGAATCCCGACCTCACCGACAAATTTTCTGCTCAGGGCCAACAAAATGTTCGAGGTCGTCAAGTAAGTCGAAAACATATTTTAATTGTCGTACCAGTATCAGAATCCAAACACTAGAAGGGATGCGCAATCTTGATCTGTTGAAATAGGGTTGAAAACTAATGGCTGCATTGTTTTCAATCTTTACGACCAATATTATCACCAGGATCGACTTGATTTTGCAAACACCTTTGAAACAATATGGCATTTCAATAATATTTATGTATCCGGAACATCATACTTCCCAATATTAGGGGCAACCTTCAAACCTGGACCGCTGAATATGTGGGCTGCGTATCAACGAAGGGATCTGGCCCAAGAAGAGGGCGAGATGTACGTCCCCGTTCTGGCATCCGAGGAAAAGCCCAAGGGAGACCAGATCTTAGCATCATTCAAAAATTGATTGCGTACTTTTCAATCCAATTCTTACGAAAGATAGTGGTTCGAATGCATGCAAAATCAACTTTTAAGTTTCTATAAGAAACTGTGTTGTTCCAACCAGGAGGGTTCTTTAGTTCGATGGTTAGGGAAAATGGAAACAGCGATCCAACAAAGAGCACAATACCTCTTGCATCCTCTGTTACAAAGCAAAAAATGAACCCAAAAAAATTCTAAAGCCTGCTCAACTCTGCCTTTCTTCAGTCCCTTGTACTCCTAAGTATTTTCTTTACAAGCTTCGAAGACACCCCCGTCAGTAGTAGTTTTGCTACTAGTGGCTATTGAAAATTTACTACTAAGTACCAGTGCAATTCACTACTAGTAGTAGTATACCCATTACTACCTCCGATTATGTTCACTAGAGAATTCTTGTTTGTTTCAAACCATTTTCAAAAAGCAAGAACAAAGAATGATCAAGAACAAGTGATTCCTTCAAATTTGTTCTTAATAGCAACAAGAACTGGTGGTGGTGGTGGTATTAGCCAGCTACTAGTACTAGTAGTACTACTACCAGTAGTAGTACGTCACACGACAACAAATATTCACCGAAAATATTGACTGGTGGCGCTGGTGGTACTAGTAGAATGTCACATACTAATGGCGCTGGTGATGGTTGTTTCTCTTTTCTCATCCTTCTAGTAGAGGATCTATCACCACCACTTGCTGAGAAAAATATCATCACTAGTAGTAGTACTAGTACGTCACACAAACCGGATCTATGGTACTGCGCGTTTCACGCGGTTGACACCATSGAAGTTTMAGGGTCAACCMTTAGTMTTTCGTGATTGGATAATAGTTTACAAAATCCCCGCACAACTTCATATATCCAGAACATGTTTCCGAAAACCAGCATAATTTTACTTCCAAAGCATGAGAAAACTCAT